TCAGGGGAGCTGTAATAATAATGCAGTGCCAGCGGTGACGGGGAGTGATAGGACAGTGAAGAAGTAATTTAAGAAAGAAAAGAGAACGTACCAAAGCTTTATTGTAGCATATCTAATGATCTGCTGAAGATTCCCAATAGCTGTTGGAGCATGACAGGAGAAACTAATGTTATCTTGCCAAAACAGAAGCCCCTGTTTAATCACCAGAACAAGATTATTGATTAAAACACCTCACACAATAGATTGCACATGGAATCTCATCTCCATACGTTGCACGTGGAAAAGTGCAATAATGAGCACAAGATAATAAAAAAAGACCAAAAGCAATTTGTTGGGAATTGTACAAGTCAAGATTAGAGTTGAAATGCAAACAAATTATCACGGAAAGTACAGCTGTCCTTAAAGCTGAGCACAGAAGGGAGTGGATGCAGCAGGGACACGGCTACATCGTGAGCAGAAGATACTTGCTAACAGCCCTGCCGGAGCTGCTTTACTTTCCTTTTTTTCTGTATTCATCTGAAATGTGAAAGGGCCGTTCCTCATTTGCTCAGTCTTCTTCCTGAGGTGAAAGGAGTTCAGACATTGTACTGTAACTGTTAATTAAACACTCCGTTTGATTTTTGGATTACTCTAAGCGATGCATCCGCATTATGAAAATGTAACCTTTCTTCATTCATACTGAAATACTGAAGAAACGAGTGTTAGAGTACACTATTGCTCCTTGCATTCATGAGAATAGTGACACTTCCTCCATTTCCCCTTGCAAAACTCTTGCTGCTGCTAGCACAGGCACCTGAGGTATCATTCCTTCAGTGCTACAGTTAGTCTCTTCCTAACTGGGCTTTCAAATGTAATTCATATCTTACCTTTCCTAAATCAACTGTTATTGAGTTTGTATAGAGTTCTTTGCAGATCTGCCTTATTTCCTTGTAAATGACAAAGCCATTGTATCATAAATCTGTGTGAATATTGTGAATGTCTTAAGCGTGAAGATGTTTCTCGGTGTGAGATCATGTGAATTTTAAGATTGTACATAAAAACCTGAGAATTTGCGTATTTTAACATATGCTAGGGAAGTGTGCAGTTAACTAGATTACAGAATGCTTAAATGGTACTTAAAACCTAAAGAAAACTTAAACACTAGATCACAGACACTGAAACACTAAAGTATTTGTGATTTGACTTCTTAAATTTGAAGAAATTAAAGCTGGTTTGTGTCGTGCCTTTAGTTGGAATAATTCTAAACGAGTTTGAACAGATGGATCAAACTAATGGTATATTGTGTAGAAAAAATAATGTTGGTTAAAATAAATGAGTGACTTCAAGTTATTTGCCAGTTAAGGTTTTGGGGGTTTGGATTTTTTTTTTCCCCCTCCCCCTGATGGTGTCTAGGCCAATTTTGCAAATCACCAGGAACTTTATTTCCTCTATAGTGTTGTTTTGGAGAATCCCATGAAGTGGCCGTACTCAGAAAGAGCTTGCCCATTCCAAAAAGGAATGAAAACGGGCCACAGGATTGAGTTGGAGGCTGTAATAATGGGCTCTTCATTGGGCATAGTGTTTCTAAGTGTAAAGGTTTCTCAAAATGCTGAAGCTCTGCTATGGCTGTGATGCGGTAGCTTTGACAGTCTGTAGCCATGTAGGATAATCTGCTGTTTAGTGCTATTTTATAGAGAGTGGAGTATCTTTTGTCCAAAATACCAGATGGAATTCAGTGTTTCATGTCTTAAAGAAGCTCAACTGAAACCTTTATCAGTTTGTAAAATGAGTCTTTGCAGGCAGCAGCAGCAGCAGCACTGTAGGCCAATAACTAATAGAGAAGTTAGTATCCCTGGTTTTACAGGGGGAAAAAAACGCAGCAGACAGAAGACTTTCATTTCTCCAGAGAACAAATCACAGTAGTGTAAATTCCCTGAATTGCTTGTCTCAGAACTACCTCTGCAAAGTCCACTTACTCTTCATCTCTTCTCCGTAAGCCGTGAATTGGGATTGACAGCTGCTGTAGTTGCTGTCGGGTTTTTGTGAAGGTTTCGCTGGAATGGAAATTTGACCACAAACTACATAACAAATAGTTACCTGACATTTCCATTTTTTTACATGTGAATATCTTAATCAAGTGTCTTTAATTTGAAATCTTAGAGGTGCATGAAAATCAGAACCTTATACGAAAATTACTCATGTTTTATAAAATGCAACCAGCAATGTGGCAAAATCGGTGATGTGAATGTAAAAAGCTATGACTTAAAGCACAAATACTTCTTTTCATTCCGTTATCCAAGTAATTGCACTTCTCGGAGCGGTGGCGGTGGTGTGCTTTGTAGCACTGCTGCGTACTGCAGCAGTAGGCATAGCTCATTGGTTTGGAACTGGGGTCTCCTTCGTTTTAGCCAAAGGTGAGCAAAAGGTGACCATATGCACAGCAGCTGAAGTCTTGCATAAAGAAGTAGTCAAAAGTTTTTAGGTGGTCAGCAACTTCCTGTAAATGCCACTCAATGCCTGAAGTTGATACTGGCACTTACTGTACAAAGAAGAAATACTGCATTTTCTTCTGAATTATTATTACACATCTTTTTGATACAAGCTAGCGTGAAGTTCTTCTCAGTTTCCTGACTGATGGCAACATTATGAGTCTTTCACTGGGGGAAAATGAAAGAGAAGAAAACAACTTTTCATAGGGAGACAAGAGTCCATCTTTTTCGTAAGATTTACAAATACTGCTAGTAAAACCTTTTTTCCCCCAGCTAAATATGACCTTCATCAGTTTCATTCTCAAGCAATTTCTCCCAATATGTATCCATTTTATTTTGTAACAAATCAATATTTCTCTCTTAATTGCCGCTCATTCAAGTGTAAAATGAAATTTTCATACAGCTCAAAGCTGTGGAAACCATTATACTGAATGATGCACTACACAAAGTCTTTTTGTAGGAATTATTTTGGCTTCAGCATAAGGTTTTCACTAAAGAAACGGAAAGAAATTTAAAGAAATTAATTACAAAATCTTACATCTGAGGTTTTCTCATGCTGGTTAGTCTGGCCTGAGATGTGGGGCATAAAAAAAACCTGTACGGGGCTTAGAACAGAGATACCTTTGAGGGTTTGAGCCATATTGCCTTCTCCTGCTTCTACAGCCTCCTCCTACACAACACACGCAAGAGCAGCACTTTGACCTTCGTGTGAGTACAAAAAAGAGGCTGTATTGTATGTTTTCGGTATTACCGATTCAGTACAGTGATTTTCTCTGCAAGTTGGGTGCACGTTTCATCACTTCAGCATGGGTCTGAAAGCCATTGGATGCATCATACTTCATGCTGGACTCCCTAATATACTGCACAAGCTGTTGCACCGACTAATAGTGCTGTTGGGAGTGGTGCAGCGTTACCTGTGCGACAGCTGTACAGGAACCTGCCTGTGCCATCCGGAAAGTCACGGCCACAAGCAGCACAGAGGTGACAGGTGAATTCCTCACCGTCTATCTGTATCCGTGGATTGTGCGTATATACAGAAATCCCTGGCTATTTCCAATTAGTTCTGCAAGTATGAGTCTTATGAGGCTAGAAAGAAGTAGCTTAAAAAAAAGAAAAAAGGAAAACGAAAAGAGGAATTAACTGATAAAGTCAGACCTGTTGTTGCCAAGTTTGCTCAGCAAGAGGCACAGTGTGTCCTGACCAGCTCTGTGCTAGTTTGATTAGTATATAAAAAGGAAAGTGATTTATATCAGAGTTCTTCAAATGTGCTTGCTCTACCTTTTATGAGGTAGCATGAATTATTCTTATACCTGTTGGCAACATACAGCTGTGGAAAGCCGTTGATACAGGATAGATTATTTTAGCTTGGGATGTGGTATTCAGGGAGTGTGGGAAGTAGTAGGGCAATAGAGAAGTTGATGTACAGCTGGAGTCAAAGGGTAGGCTATTACTTAAGTTCAGACTTCTGTTATTCAGTTTGCTGACAAACAAAACTAACCTCAGAGAAGATCAGCCAAGCTCTTTTTTCTTTTAGTCACCAAACTCGCTGACCTCTTTTTTTAATTCTACTTCCTTCTGAATATTTTTTCTGTATTACATTTTGACCACCTCTTCAGGGTTAGGTGATTGTTTTTCCACTTCTAACTTCCAAGCTAATACTTTTTTTTTTTTTCCCCTGGAAAAATGAATAATAGTCTAAAATCTCTTGATTGTTACTACTATTACTATTATTACTACTACTACTACTACTAAAAGAACAACTCAAAAAACATTAAGTTCAGTAGACCCTCATGGTTAGAGGCATTGTAATAAAGTTCTTTGTATCGAAATGCATTGGCTTCCATTGTTAAGTAAATCAGATACATGTTTCAGTATTTAGTCTCCTCTAAAATACATTTTAATTAATTTTCTTGCAGTTCTTCTTTTTAACTGTTTTTCTTATTTCCTCAGACGGTCATTCCTTACCTCTTCCTGTAACCTAACAGAGGAAGCTTAGAGTCCACCAATTGCTCCTAAAATAATTAAAATGGAAATGCTAATGTCCTTTGTCTACAAAAACTCTTCCAACCAAAATAATTTCCTTGAATCACAACAAAAATCTCTCTGAGATGTAAAACCATTCAGCAGCATGTATATCTCTAAAGATGGAAGGAATTGCTCACTTGTGTTATTGTATATTATTCATAATTACACATTTTTTCATTTTGTATCATGTTTGCATTTTGCTTTGATTTTATTGAACAGTAGTATCAGAGCCGTATATATCTGGGACAGCTATAGCTATCAGTGGGAACGAGTGACACTTGAGATAACATCGATCTCCAAATTTAAAAGTATAAAGCGTGAACTGAAGTACTGTCTTGAAGCCTTATTTATGGACTTTGACTGATCTAGTGTTAATTAACTTCGTTGTCTTATGGATTGGACTGCCCGAGTGTGAAGAGAGTTAGCACTGCGTATAGTACTTTAGTATGAACTTGCAAATTAAATGTAATTTTAAATTAATTAGCTTGCTTTCTTTTCCCATTACAGGTGCAACAACCGAACACAGTGTATAGTAGTTACTGGGTCAGATGTGTTTCCTGATCCTTGTCCTGGAACGTACAAATATCTAGAAGTTCAGTATGAATGTGTTCCTTACAGTAAGTATAATCTTTTTATTCTTGCTCACTTCCTCTGGCCCTCACAATTAAAGCTGGAGTGCTGTTACATGGAAAAGAAGCATATGTTTATGGCCCACGGACCCATTATGCATGCAGAGCACTTGCAGACTAGGGCCTCCAATTAGCTTCACGAAGTGTGGAAGGAAGCCATGGTGTGATGCTGGCCAAGTGTCTGTCTGTGTTCTTAAGTGTTTGGCTTTTAAGGCTACTGTTTTTCCAGAAAACAAACTCAAATTAGCTATTCAATAGGCCAGATAGAAATTTGTACTTTTGCCCGCTACCAGTTGCTGACAAATTGGCTTGGCTCACAGACTTCTAAAGCAGGAATTGACTTCCATTTTAATCATGATCTACTTGAAAGGCTACCTGCTGTTGTGGTGACTTTGGGTGCACAGCAAAACCCAACGCTGACGCTCTGAGGCAAATGCCCCAGTTGGGGGACATTGTAAGAGGACTTTGTGCTTCAGGGGCACATTATAAGTGAACGCAGATTCAGAGTGAATAATTCATCAATAAGTTACTCAAACTTGGTTCTTAAAAACAATGGGGAAAAGAGTGAGAAAGAAATGTTTGGTTTTAATGTAAAGAGAAAATGTGAATTGTGCCTTGAATCAGCTGCCAAAACAGAATTTCTCACTGAAAACAAAGGGGATACTGAAATCAGATCGAGATAGAAAAATTGGAAGTTACGGCTACTTCAGCAGTTTTGTACAATATTCTTTCTAATGCCAGAATTCAGTAGCTTTAGACATACTTCTTATTTCCTTGCAATAATTAATGCTTTTCTTCATTGACATGTATGCATGTTTATAAAAGTTCTAAAGATTCAACACTTTTAACTGGTTTTGCTTTCTTGTAAGGTCATTCTTTGCAGTGACTTCTCCCTCATCCCGTAACTCAACAGAGAAATAGCTGTGTTTGCAATGGAATTTGAGCAGTGCACTGATCGTTCCCTTAAGTTATTATTAGGCGTGAATTTCTTGATCTGCAGTAATCCTTAACCAAAGTCACATTTTCTGTTGGTACAGGAAACAGGCCAAGTCTGAGATGCAAAAACACTGTGGTGACAGTATATATCCAAAAGGGAAGGAAATGAGTTCTGGCATAACAAAGCTATGTCAAAACTGTCCATACTGTTTACTGTGCAATTTTAAGATTTAGACTTCTTAAACTGAAATACTACTCTGTACTGCTTCACCACATTGAACCTTCACTGTTGTTAAAGGCCAAACACAGGTCATCTGTTTTTCCTTCATTTCTGCTGTGTCATTGTGAAATGCTTGCTTGCTGATTTTTTTTCTGTACCATTTGTAGGATTGGAAGCCTACTGCATACAGTGATCCCTAGTACCATTCCTCCTGTGTGTAGTACCGGTGGCTTGTTGTAACCATTCTTCTCGTGCCACTTTTGAGGAGTGATGTCTTACCCCAATCTAACCAAAGTTTTGTTCCACAAAGATCACTTTTACTTTAGCGCTATTTTCATTCCCAAATTCTCAGAAAGAGTGCAGTGCATCCGATTCCAAACCATGAGGTCAGTCAAATGACAAGAGGTCACGTTTCCAGTTCCAGTAGGCTAGCTCATAGAGAAAAACTGTAATGCGAATAATGTTCAAACATAATTTTTTATGCTGTTTTAGGAAGAGAAGTGTGGATATGTTCTACCGATTGGGTATTGCTATCTACAGGAATCTTTTCTTTTCCAGTTTTCAGAAGTATAGTGCTACAGCGCGGCCTGCCCTGTACTCTAACGTGTAGTTATTCTACTTTTAAAATGTTTATTTTTGTTTACTGTCAATTGCATTGGCCTACCCTTTGAATTATGTAATACTGTGTCTATCATAATTCAGGATTCTGGATACTTCTTGTCTTTCAAAATCTGTAAGTTTCGGAGTTTGTCAACTGCAGCATGTACAGTGATGACACTGTGCTCAATTCCAGAGCTGTAAGAGGCATCACCTGTCATTACCAGCAGTCAGCAAAAAGGTTGCCAGTTACTAAAATCGGTTTTGAAGTTTTATTTCAAACCACATTGTGCCTCAGTAGCTGTTTTGATTTTTGACCATCTTTCTTCCCTGTCCCACAAAGCCTATCCTGGTGTTTTTCCAAGTCTCTTTTTGATGCCTCCAGTTATCGAGTCTAATTTTTTTTTCTCCCTTACTTGTTCCAGTGCTCCATATCTAAACATACGGAATGACTGAAATCGTTAGGTTTGCAAATAGCAGCTGTCCCAGCATAAGAGACTCATTAGGAAGGTGGGATAGGCTTTTGTGGGTCTAGGAAGGGAGGTTTTTAGTGATCACAGCACTTCTAACCAAAGTTGAGTTACGGTTCTTACCTCTTCTGAACTTCATCTTCAGTGACTGCAAGACTGCAAAATTTGCTGTGTCTCACTTGGGCACCTTTCAGTCCATGAGAGATTACAAATAGCAATCATACCAGGTTTTGTGGTAATAGTTGGGAGTTCTTACACTCTGGAGTTGGCGTCACCCTTGTACAAAATGCAGTTTATGAGCTCCTCTATGTCTTGCTGGCCTCCAGAAAAATAGCTGCTTGGCTGATCATACATATTGATTGAGCTTTCTCTGGGTTCTGTATTCATCACCCTCATAAGAAAGTACTTAATGAAAAGCTTCCTTTTTTGCATCTCAAAGTGTAGACCTGTTGCTGATGTTTTTCTAATCCTCTTTTAAAAAAAAAAAATCTATTGAGATACTCAGTTGGATCTCCAACAAAACTAAAATTCTAGACAAATTTGATAGGCATTGCTTTGTCCTAAAATAAGAGTGTTATTGATTAAATTACAAAGAAATTGAGAGTACCATTCTTGACATTTCTCTCCATTATGCTGCACAATGTATGTTGACACTTTGACTGAATAACAGAAGTCAGCCCTTTTATGAAGAAGAACATCAAAAGTACCATTTTGTACATCTGTGCATTTTTATTTTAAGCCTTTTTTGGACTCAGGAATTCAATAGAAAACGTTTTAAAGTGTTTTATTCTCTCTCTGTCTGTATTGATTGGACTTTGCAGCATTTGTTTATTTCAATAAGCCCATCTGTCCCTGAAAAATGTACAGCTGTACACCAGTGCACGCAGAGCAGACATGCCACTAATGATTTTAGTTAGCCCTGTCGTTTCCCCCCTCTCCTATTACTGATTCTAAGCAGGTACAGTATCAATATTGCTCTTTGGCGAGGAATAAACTCATGCATAAAAGTTCACAAACAGAAGCATCTGAAAGTCATTAATACTGATAGTGAAACCCAGGACTTCACCTCAGAATACATCTTCTGTTTACTCAGATAACTCAAGAATTACAAATTGCAGAAAAACAAGTATTTTACCTAAAGATATATAAATGAACAAAGGCTAGGAAAACTACTGCTCATTTTGAGAATATTAACCCCCCTCCCACTCCCCCATAAAGTTTTGGAATTGTTCCCTGAAGAAACACTAGATTGGCTCAGCCAATACCATTCTCTCAAAATAATCACATGTAATTTAGTTAAATGAAACTGAAAATCCAAAAACTTTATATGAAACATACAAATACGTTCTTCAGGATAATACCGTAATACTGAAAATGTAATAGCTGTGCAAATAGTTTTGATACACTTCCTTGGTGTCAGCAGCTACTGTTACACAGATTGGTACATCTGTCATTTTCCAGGTCATTTTATGAAACTAAAGGAGCATACTCCAAAGGCTACTGAGTATATGAAATAGATTTTATTGCAAATAATTATTGGAAAGCTATTTACTAGCTGGACTTCAGCTATACGTCTTCCTGTAATATGTTCCTTAAAACTTCCTTGGGGAAAAATTGCTGTAGCAATATAACTTTGTTAATCGGGTTGGGTTTATATTTTCCATGTATGGTGGCGGGATGGATGTTTGTTTTAAACGCTTAGTATGACTGTCCTTACATACTAGCTTGCTGTTTCGGGCTTAATCGATGATGCTGGAGAATATCTGAATAAGCTAAATGTTAATTTTTTCCTTCTCTTTTCTTCTTGCTTACTGTGCTTTTGCTTCTTTTTTCTAGATGTTCTTGCTTATTCCTTCTAGTCCGATTTTGCAGTTATAGACTAAGAAGTGGCAAAAGTTCTCAAGATTAACATTCAGGGGAAAAAAAAAAAAAAGCCTAAGGAGAGCTAAAGGATGCAAGCTGCTTTCTTTACAAGAAAGAAAAGCAGAGGGATGTCTGGGGCAAAGATGGGGGAAGGTTTAATAAGCACACATACAAAGCTATATAATTAATATACTGCATTTTGGATTTATAATTAATATAATATGTATATGTGCACTCGCACATATATGATAAATTAACGTGTCACTTAAAAACCAACTTGATAGCATTATGCTTTGAGAAGAAGAAGAGTATGTATAGCATGCATTAGTAAAGTCATTCATTATTTATTCAGGCTCACTAAGTGAAACTACATGCCAACATATCTGTATTGCCTCCTTAATCTACTAAAATGATTGATCCATGTTCACTTGTGTAACCGTAGAATCTCTCTCCTGCTAGGTTTTCCTGTTGTCTGTTTCTCTTTATCCAATATAGTGCAGTTCTTATTCTCCCTATATTTAGCGTCTGTTACTAATTTAATCTTTAGATTAATAGTCAATTTATGTTAATCTTCTTTCTTTTTTCCTTGCACTTTTTTATTTTTCTTCCGATGCTTAAAATAGAAGTGGAGCAAAAAGGTAAATAACGTATACAGTCCAAACCCCAGCTCCTTGTTATGTGCCTTATGGATGTTAACCTCTTCCCTTCCCCTCCCCACAACACTCTTATATTATGATAATCAGCAGGATCTCATAAGTACACCTCATAAAGAAGTCGACTGTTTGCAATAAAGTGACTTGGCTGCTTAAAGTAGGTGGCGGGGTATAGTGTCTGAAATACTTGGGCTGGAGGGAAGACTCCCTTGCTTTTTTCTCTCCCTTTCTCTTTGTCTTTCTTTCCCTCTCTTTCTCTCACCCTTGGGTAAATTCTTGTTAATCAAGTGTCATCTTGCCTGGCTTCCAGAACCCTCTCCATAGCATGCCATGGTTACAGGGTTTCCTGGTCTGTTTCATTCATTGCTTTGGTTGTGTTTTGTTTTCTCTGCTCCTAATTGCTTTCTCTATATACCTGATGATTTGGTTTGTTCCTTTATTTTTAATCGAGGCACCTCCTTTTTCAGCCTCACCACTTCTTAAAGTTCTAAACAAGTCGATGTGATTTTTTTTTGGACTGAAATGACCTAGCACACTGCTGCACACCAGTTAAAAGCTCTGGAGCGTTAATGCGTACTCAATAAAAGTCTAAGACGAAAATGCAAGAGTAGCTCTACATTTTCAGCTGTCCGTGTATGCCATTGAGCCTTGGTCTGTACTAGTGAAAACAGTTCCCATCCACTTTCCATACTGGTACAGCAAGAACATGGTAACTTTAAGAAAAGTGGATGATAAAGGGTGATAATTGCATTAATTATAACATAAGGTATAATCTAGTGCCAATTAAATTGATTTTTTTTCTTCCTGACACAGTCATTATGATTTACCTACCTTTTTTTTTCTTTTTTTTTTTTTCCTTTTTATTATGAGACAGTCTTAATTTGACGTAATTCTTGTCTTACTTCTCTCTGTGACTGTTAGTTTTTGTTTGCCCGGGGACGTTGAAAGCAATTGTGGACTCACCGTATTTATATGAAGCTGAACAAAAAGCAGGTGCTTGGTGCAAAGATCCTCTCCAGGCTGCAGATAAAATATACTTCATGCCATGGACTCCGTATCGCACCGATACTTTGATAGAATATGCTTCTTTAGAGGATTTCCAAAACGGACGCCAGCAGACGACATATAAACTCCCAAATCGAGTGGATGGTACTGGATTTGTAGTGTATGATGGCGCTGTCTTTTTTAACAAGGAAAGAACTAGGAACATAGTAAAGTTCGACTTGAGGACTAGAATTAAGAGTGGAGAGGCCATAATCAATTACGCTAATTACCACGACACCTCTCCATACCGATGGGGAGGAAAGACTGACATTGACTTGGCAGTTGATGAGAACGGCTTATGGGTAATTTATGCTACGGAGCAGAACAACGGGATGATAGTAATTAGCCAGCTGAACCCCTACACCCTGCGTTTCGAAGCCACGTGGGAGACGACATACGACAAACGGGCAGCATCCAACGCTTTCATGATATGTGGTGTCCTGTACGTGGTGCGGTCGGTGTATCAGGACAACGAGAGCGAGACTGGCAAGAACACCATCGATTACATTTACAACACCAGGTTAAGCAGAGGCGAGCACGTGGACATTCCTTTCCCCAACCAGTACCAGTACATCGCCGCGGTGGATTACAACCCCAGAGACAACCAGCTGTACGTGTGGAATAACAACTTCATTCTGCGATATTCTTTGGAGTTTGGCCCACCTGATCCCGCCCAAGGTAAGAATTTGGTTTTTCTCATTTTTAAGCTCTTTGTACTTCCATTCAGCTAACTATCTCACGGTGTCTTTGGTCTTAGGCTTAGCTCTTTGCAGAAGGGCAAGGAGGCGTGGTGTGTCTGCGCTGTGCTGAGCAGTGCAGTGTAACATTGGTGCAAGGCAAATGCGCGGCACCTGCGAAGAGAGAGAATTACTTTATTTGGTTTGCAGGCTTGTACTTTTCTTCTTTTTTTTTTTTATACGAGTGTGTAGCTTTTCTGTGTTTGAGAATGAGATGGGGAGTTGTTTATTTTCTTCATACCATCAGTCAGTTCGACTTTCTGTAGCTAAAGTAAGTTTGAGTTCATTCACGCTGAGCCAGAAGCCGGTTCCCGTCCGTTCAGTGTTACCTGACTTCGGAATTGATTGCAGCGTACATGCAGACCTTTTAACTTCTTGGCGCCAGCAGTTCAGAGTGATGTGTGCTGGGGAGGTCCCAGAGGAGATGTATGGGGTTAATGTGCAATACCAAGCATAAATATTTTTCCACAGCCCTGTTTTCACAGTTTCTAATGCTGGGTTAGACAAGATGATCCGACCTCTTTTTAGCAGGTTTCTCGCTAAGTCCATTACAATTGCAATTCAGCTCACTTGAAGTTAGAACAACTACCTAAAAGGAAAGACACTAACTGCTAAAAGAGGAAAGAAAAATGGAGGTCTTTAGGTCTCAGAAATCCCTAAAAATGACATGAGCAAGCACAGCCACATATTAACATCTGCAGGGGAGAGTAAATACCAAGAGAAACGCTCCGTGGCAGAAGATGCATGCAGCAAGGAACAGGATGTTGATAAGCTGCTTTAGCAATGAAGGTAACACTTCACTTCTCTCATCTAACTAGTATGCATGTTTAGCAGCCGTTTTTTCTGCTTCAAAAAAAGTAGTAATAATGGCTTCTCCATGTGAAAAATAGCTGTCCTGCTTCAGCAAAGCTGACTCGTGCACAGCAGCGCAAACCACGTAGCGTGCACACAAGTGTAACATACATACGGCTTTTCCGAGGTACAAAAGTACGTAAGGCGCAGCAGAACAAGGCGGTTTAGAACCAATACATTAGTGGTCTCCAGAGCCAAGTGGAGATCTGTCCACTCTGTCTCCTGCCGAGCTCCCTGGCCATACGTGGCCAGGCTCGGGCAGGTTCCAGGTGTTTGGGGACTGAGCTCCGGCCGCGGGGGCAGTCACCCGGGGAAGCTTTGCTCTCTGTACGTCAAGCTAGTCCATTCCTCAGGGAGGCTTTGGGGCTGCTCTTAGCAGAGACATACCCACCTATGTAATTAGAAACAAATTTATAGCTTTCATTTTGGTACTTTATCATGCATGTCACTTTTCATTCGGTTTAACTGAGGTGAAGATGCATTTTAAATTCTCCAAAGCTTTAACAGTAAGAGGAGAAAATGGAGGTGCAGGCTCTAAGCAGCTTTCGCAGTTCAGGCAGCTGCCATGAATGTGGCAAAAGCTAATCTTTAAATCATTGCATTTAGGGAAAAGTGTTAAGGAAGAGCAGGGAGAGAAGGAAAGGCTTTGTGGAATCCTTCCTTTGCTTTAGTAAACCACCAAAGGTCTCCAGTAAGATATTTCATAATGTTTTTATTGTAAGAGAGTCTCCAAAATCCTAAGTTACAGTACATGTGCTGGCCACATCCCATCTAATATCAGAAAGAGATTTGGGCATCCACCAGCACCCCTTCATGTTCCTGGGTTCCTTGCTGGCATGCAAGGCAGGGGGAGAAATGGTTTATTCCAACCAGCGCTAGATGAGAAGGGGTCCAGGGCACACTGCAGGGTGCTTGCCTCTCGTCTGAGCTCTGTGCCCAGTCACCCATGAAGGCAGAGAAGGAATACTTTTTGAGCAATTTATGAGTTTGGGTTTTAAATGCATTATGACATCACTAAATATATTTTGATTATGGCCTTTTTAAAATATAGAAACCATATGAAGGCACTAGATTTATTTGAACATGTGATGCATATATTCACGAACGGTATTTTTCCTTATATAAAGCCAATACCCAATATTTTAATTTTGTATGGATCTGTACGTAGAAGATCTAAGAATATCTTTCAGTTCATTTCCTCTTTTGCCTAAGCCAATTGCCTGTAGTTAAAGACTACTAAATTAAAGGAAAAATTATCTAATACGATTGTCCTTGAGATGTGCTGCTATAAAACCAAGAGATTCTGTACAGTTTCTAACTCCATTTGTATTATATTCTCAGTTCCTCTCTGTTTCAGTGTAAAGTGTGTATAAATTGAAGATCAATCCTTCTATTGTTACACAGTTAAAGGATCTATATGTGTAATACACATTTGGATTTTTTTATCTCATACGGAATTAGATGAGATTTTCAGCACATTTGATGAAGGGCATTTTTGTGTTCTTTTGTTCTGGTTTGGTTTGGTTTTTTTGTGGTTGGCTCGGGTTTCTTAATCACCTACTGTAAGGCACAGGTGTTAGGATAACATTCTTTAAGTCACCTAACGCAAGAACCTCCTTTTAGTGTCTTTTGCGATGGTACTTTAATATCAAGTATGTAATGGTGTCACAAGGTCAGTGCCTCAAAATTGGAAGTTGTGGCCTTTTCTGTTCGAATGGTTAACTTGGGGCCATTGTGGGAAACTCAGCAATCTGTGTTCCCTCTGTTTCCGTGGGAGCAATAATGATATATATAGACACACGCTGATTCTTTATTTTTTCCCATCTATCTGTCTTGGCTATCGGTTCTTGTCCGCACCATCACTTCCAACTACCGAGTGTGTCAAAAACAACAGCCTTCTTCCTACATGAAAGATGAATTTGTCACATTTGAGTCACAGTTTTGAGCTCGAGGGTTTACATTTGCTCCCAGGGCCAAAATCTTGGACTCATCCATGCCCCAAAACCTGCCTTTTTTCTCTCTGTTATTTCTTTCGTTTTTAAGTCCACCCGTTGAAACCTCTGAAATACCACTATAATTAACCTAATGTTGACCTTGCCCTTGCTGCAAACCTACACCATTTTCTCCTCTTGCAACTGTCCGTGTTACATCCGCCCCGTATCCTTGATTTTCTTAATCTGCAGGAGAACTCTTCAGATTTCTAAAACTGCGGATGTTGCAGCCAGGCTCCTGGTTTACCCTGACAATGGGCTCTGCTGCCCTTAGAACTCCCCCCTTAACCTCATTCTCGTGTCGTTTTTTCTTCTCTCTTCTCGTGGGAATTACAGTACATAGATGTAGAAGCGGTTTTCAGAGCTACAGCTGACAAGTACCACTCAGATACTGGAGAAGAGCACATTTTCTAAGGTTAAGTGTAAAATTACATTTAAAAATCAAAATCTTAATTTAGGAATAAAATATATCAGGCCCTGCAAAAAGCCACTATGAAAAATTCGAAACAAACCAGAGTTTTTATATCCTTGGTAAATGTAGTGGATATGTCCTGTTACATTCTTTCTAAAGGAGGTATCCAAGGGACCAAATAAATCCTCGCTGAAATAGGAATTTTTAAAGGAATTTTAATTTAAAAGATCAGGAAGAATGAAGGGAATTTTCCCCCTAAAAAGTGAATATGAGCATTACACTGCGAGGTTTCCTTGGTAACAAAAAGAAGATAAATCCTTTTGTTCTGTGTTAGTGCGTTAGGGAGAGATTTCATCTACACTCATCCCAATTTGCGCTAACCGTGCAAACTGTTCAAACTGAAGTTGTCTCCCCTTTTGTACCATGATACCCATCATTAAGTTTTATTGGATCGCTGCAGGAAAATATGGATGTTGTGAGTGTGGACAGAACAGAAACTCAGAGAGTTCTATCACCAAGGGCTTGAAATAATAGGAAACTAGTGCAACTAAATCTTTATAACACCGAGAATCTACGACAAAGTCATGCAGCAAATTGTTAAAGTAAATTAGATCTTTACCATTATATTGAATCTGATGTACTACAGATTGATTAAAGAGTGGTTGTACAAGTAAAGACAACATAATGGGGACCGGATAGCATGCTTCTTGATCATAGGTATTTTGCTAATTTTGCGGCTTATTTGTTATCATTTTCAGGGTATAAATTTATAAATGGCTCTGTAAACATTTCGCTTTCAACTAAACAGGATTTGGCAGGGTCAATAGAGTACTGGCTAGCATAATAGCTGGAACCTATAGGTAATTAGGTGAGTCTTAGTGACTTCCCTGCTATTCAGTGAAGCGTGAAAACAGGCACACAGCGGTAATAAGCAGAAGGCAGGGAAATCTGGATTTGCACAGGTTTCTGATCTCCGTTGCTTTACATAGCAGCTCAGTGTATGGCACCTTTTGAAAATGAAGGCAGGCACATAGATTTTCACATGTCTGAATACATTGAAATGCCTGACCTGTAGGTGCATACGTTTAACTGAAAAATCCATGCAACTGATTTCTAAAATTACCTCGATGCCGGAGATGAAAATGGAACCATTAGTATTTTCAGAAGTGGCGCATCATCTGGGCATTTCACCACAATTTTAAATCTAAGGTCAGAGCCGTATTTAGGGTGGGGATTTTTTTGTTTTGGCTTGGTTTGTTGGGGTTTTTTTTTTAAATGTATTTTATGCCTGCTTAAAATAGAAACCTGTTGGCAAAGAACACCAGATAGCTAGTGTGCCTTCTCTAAATCTACTATTCACTGTCAGTTGGGGAAACAAAGTTACTATTCCCCTGTTGTCCTAGGCAATTGTGTTATGTTTTTTATAGATATCACACTGTTAAACAGGTGTTAAGCTTTACTCCGGTGGTGTCTTCATTTTTAGAAACAGATAGTATGCATAACTGTTTAAATCAGCTGTTAGGAACTGCATGAAACAAATGTAAATTAATTACCCTCAACTTGAGTCTTTGGATTTACTTCCTATTGCTCTTTCTTTTTTTTTTTTTTTTAATTTTACAAAGCCTGTCTTCAGCTGATAATGAGACCCATCTATCCTTAAAAAAAGGCAGAAGGCAGAAGAGGTTTGGGGTTTCTCCTCAGCATGTCAAGCCTAGACAAAAAGTCCAAAATAGGATCTCACATTATAAAAGCAGCTTTTTTGGCATTGGACAAAAATTACGTATCTTCAGCCTTGTAGAGGCTCACCCCTGCTGCTTGGAACAATAGGTTAATAACCTCGACATGGAGTTTGTTGTTGTCCTTAGTTGCAGCATTTTAATCATCCCTGCCATTACCGTATATTGGTAACGCGCTCCGCAAGACAGTGCACGAGAGCCGGCGGGTGCCATCGCCCTCAGCTTTCGGAACGAGACACGTCAGGTGGTGGCAGCTATCGTGTGTCTTCTTGCAGCTCAGGAGAATGGCCTTGCAGATTAAGTTCCCCGACAGGTCATTAAAAACAAAACGATCTGCCTTCTAAAAGCTGGATGTATTCCTTAAAGTGATGTGTTCGGTCATTTCTTATTTTTTCAACCTTCTTACCCAGACTTCCAGCACTGTCTGAAGTTTCCTGGTACATTCTTAAATATACTGACTTCTCCTGTTTTCAAATTTAATTCAAGAGAAAATCTCTTAGAAATGATCTGTAGTTTTTTTCAGTTCTGTGAGAGAGATGGTTTAAAGTCTTTCTCCTAAAATGTGAGATTATAAATATATTTCTAAAGTATGTAGTACTACTAAGTTACGCAGGTCATTTTTGAATCGTAGGTGATATGCTTTGAAATTGATTTTAACTGATAGTCTTAAAATTTTTCTACCTGAAGTTGCGTAATGACAGCAGGATGTTTTAGCTCAGGGTGCAGCACAAAATCTGTTCTGAAAATTGTTACCTCGCTACTGAACTTCCAAGAGTTGTTATGAATTCTTACAGTGATACTTTGCTCCTGAGACCAACCTATCCTAAACATTACAGGGTTTAAGTAGTAATTGCAATAATGCTAATACACATTTCAGTGATTAAATATGTACTAATTAGCAGAATGTGTTAGGGGATGGGCGGTAATACTTGGTTGTCCCCTGCACCATTCTCTGTCCCCACCAGCTCCCCGTTCCCCAGGACCTGATTCAGCAGGCGTTGCCTGACACTTCGGCAAGCGATTGCAAATGCTTTTGACAAATGTTAATTGGGAAAGCACTAGAAGGCTGGATGCATTGTAATCAAAAGAAAATTACAGCAGTTTCACAAGATGTCAGGCAAGCACTTGCAGAACAGATCCGGGGATTTCACTAGGTTTCGTAGTAGCTGGCTATGCCACGAGTTCAGCACAATTACACAGACCGTATTCAAGCAGCCAAGAATGAGACTGAAGAGAAAACAGCCTCTGAAGAATTTTCTCATTTGTGAGCGAGAGAGGGATGAAAAGCACATCTTTGCATTTAATCTTTAAAAACTCTGCTCTAAATTCATCTGAAAATAAAGAGATAAATTCATATTTGAGACTCGTAATAAATTGTAACTGAAATATAATGGAAAAAGGATTTTGAAATAATTGTTATCTGCCAAACTACTGAAAGTTAATCTTATTCAGAACACTAACTTAAAAAAACATCTGCTGAAAGAAAGCGAGACAGCTCTTCTTTTGGGTTTTGTTTATGATTTAATTTAGAGAAGATGCATTGTCCAGTAAGTCAGAGTTCAAGGGCCTAGCAGAAGGAGAAAAAAAGAAAGAAAAAAGCCACTTTATCCACTGAAGTTAATCCTAAAATTAGCTTCATTTATTTCTGTATCAGGATTTAAAAAATAGTTGATATGAGCTTATTTATTCTCAGCACAAGGATCTGTGCTTTTATGTGCCTATAAAGCACTGGGAACGCTAATGAAGATTTGGGAATAATTAATGGGAACTCTTTCGGTTACATTGCTGGCTCGCACTGTCTCAGCCGTTGCTCAGTGTACATTTGAAGGTGATGAACAGGAATTCCGGAGTGCTGTCTCCACTGGCATCACTAGCGTTGTCTCTCCAAAGCCTCAGGACCACGGCGTGGGTCGCTGCGGTGAGCAGCTGCGAGCCCTGGGCAGAAGTGATTTGGCCGAAGCCCATCCTGGTGTTTCATAAAAGATTAAACTAGGTACTTGCCACTGGCTTGGGCGAGTTGCGTCTTCATACCTGCTTTAGCAAAAAAAGGACGTTAAGGCCCGAAGTGTTCAAGCACGAGAACACCGCGTACGTGCTAGGCGCTGCTCGTGTTTGGAGCTAATCGGGCACGCTGCGGTTCTCTCAAGCAGAATGAGTGCCGGCTAGGAAGATGTTCCCGTCATTATTTTCCTGGAAGGTGTGTAGCGGGTGACTTGAAGTTTTGGGGTCTGTATTTTTTTTAAAATGGTCTCGTTAGTTACAGCCCACCGCCTCTGTTAAAGCCGGACCGCACTGTTTATGGCACGCTGATTGGAATGATTCCGTCTGTTGAGTTACTCCTTCTGCAGAAGTGATGAAGTAATCTTTAATTGCTTTGAGTGTGTTTCTTATGTACTGATAACTCACTAGTACTGCCTCCCAGCCGTTAGAAATGTAACTATCAATTTTTATTACGGAAGAGATTATTTGGAGAATGCGCTGAAACATCGTACTGGTATGAGCTGGGAGCGAACAAAAAAAAAAATCTGTCAAAGTTGTATCTTAAGCACCCAGAATAGCAATAAGAGTAATATTAAGATAAAGGAAAGGAGACATCAGAGAATCCTTTAAAACGACATAAATAACATTTAAAGAACTTCTTTTATTTTACAATTCTGAAGTCATTTACTTTATTATTACTCTAATTTTCTCTGTGCAGTGCCTACCACAGCAGTGACAATAACTTCCTCAGCAGAGCTATACAAAACCACAGCGTCAACCACTAGCACTACATCACAGAAAGGTCCCGTAAGCACAACGTTAGCCGGAGGAACAAAGGAAGGAAGCAGAGGACCCAAGCCACCGCCACCCATTTCCACAACCAAAATTCCTCCTGTGACAAGTTTTTTCCCTTTGCCAGAGAGATTCTGTGAACCGACTGAGGCCAGGGGGATTAGCTGGCCTCAGACACAAAGGGGAATGATGGTTGAACGCCCTTGCCCCAAAGGAACACGAGGTATTGCCTTTTAAAATGTATCTTGATTTCAAGCAGACATTTCAAAAGCAGCGTGCCGCTGTCTCATGGTGAATTTGTTTCTAATCTCAAGCTGTCTGTCACATGATGTTTTCTTACTTGGAGAATACAGGCAATGGTCAAGTTTTAGTCTGCAAACGACATCTGAGTGTAGCTGCAGAAGTACCTTGCGCATGCGCTTTTGAGAATCCAGGTCAAGTTTTAGGGCTTTGCTTGAGGACTGTTGTGAAATACGCTTACAGCTGCCTTTCTCATTATGAGCTCCCCTCTGGATGAGCTCCAGGAAAAATCAAGGGCTTTTTGTTTGTTTGCAGAAAACGTCTGGTACTTTTCACTGACTTTTTTATTGCTGTTTGTAATCTACATTATTTCCTTACGCTTTTGTCAATTATTGTCAACTGCTGCCATTAGCGGCATTCAGAATTTAACATTGCTTAGGAACGCAGTGGAGCCGATTTCCTGAATGCATCCAGAAAAATGGTTTCCATTTCACTGTAGTTTTCTACATCTGTTGTAGGAACTGCCTCGTACCTCTGCGTGGTCTTAACGGGAATGTGGAACCCCAAAGGCCCTGATCTTAGCAACTGCACCTCACACTGGGTAAATCAGCTGGCTCAGAAGGTTGGTTGAAACCTTTTAATCTGGTGTACACTGGTGATTAAGGATTTTAACTCTGAGCATTAATAATTCAGTTTATTGAAGCCATCTTTATTACTCTGTGTTCATTTAAAGTAGAAGGAGTTATGTGTACTTCGTGTGCAAAGCGTTGGCCAACAGTTAGGTTCGTATGTGTGTTTTGGTACGCTCTGCCTCTAAGTTCTTGTATTGATTCTCTGATTATGTGTTTTCATTGCTATTTAAAGCAAAGTAGCCTTGCTGGTGTTCAAAAAACAAAATCTATGTTTGCTTAATAAATCAAATATTATAAATCATGCAGCAAAAACTGTGGTATGCAGCAAGGTTTTTTGGTTCAGGAGAAATTACGCTGTAATAAATAGATTTTTGTCTGAGTGCATTAATAACAGTATGATTAGAGCACAGAGCCACTTTCTGTGTTTTCCCTCCCTACTGAGATTTACTAAGTTTATGAAAACTGGATAATTTGTTGTCAGTGCTAGGCTACTTGACTTTCAAATGCCTCAAGCACTAGTATGAACAAATAGATTTCTTACTGTCTGATAATGGCAGTAAAATAAAAGTGAGGATGAATAGAAGATCTAGCCCAAAAGTCCCAGTCTGATTTCTGGTTTTGATGGCTGTTAAGAACTGCTTTTGTGTGTCACGGATCTAAGAAACTTTAATCTTCTGAGATAAAGAGAACGTTATTGGTCTCAATTAGTTGCAGATTTCAATGTATGTGCAAATGGTTATTTCACCACAACAAAGGTACACAGGGAATTGGAATTAGGAGCCGCAAGCAGAACAAGGGACCCTGCTGAGATAATGTAAATTGTCATTTCAGATCAGAAGTGGAGAAAATGCTGCTAGTCTGGCCAATGAACTGGCTAAACACACCAAAGGACCGGTCTTCGCTGGCGATGTTAGTTCATCAGTGAGGCTGATGGAGCAGCTCGTGGACATTTTGGATGCTCAGCTGCAGGAATTGCGGCCCAGTGAGAAGGACTCTGCTGGAAGGAGTTATAACAAGGTACACACCTCCCATCATCTCCTCCTGCTGGGATAACCATTGCCCTTGGTTTTTTTTATTTTTTTCCTTTCAGAAATATGAATCTATACTTTGTTCCTGCGTGCTTATAGTTCTGGAATAAACATGTAAGAGAAAACAGCAGTAAATACACAGCGGAAAGTTGCAATTACCTTCTTTAGGGAATACGATATAATTCACAATAGCTGACTGGTCCTAAAATACATAGCTGTGTTCCCTATTAAAATCTGGAATGCGTTATAACTAGTGTGAGGGAAATGGGCATTAGCTCTCAGAAATTCTGTAACAAATCAGCATGTTTATTCAGTGATCCTTTTAACCCTGAACATGTAATAAAATCGGTGGGATTCTGCATAGGTGCAGGGTTTTATTTTAATCTGACTTCCTGCAGAATAATAGCACTTTCTTAGCCTTTTAAAGACGCCAGCATCACTTACAATTGATCTTTATAAAAATGCCTTAATACGCGTATCTAAAACACGAATAAGTGTTTTCTCCGGAATGATGTTCAGAGAAACATTTCAGAGAAAACATATGTCTTTGTGGTTTAAATACAAAACACAAGTGTTATTACCATTCCTCTTTTTCTCAGAGGAAATGCTGTATTTCTCATCCTCTTCCTTGCGTCAGCTTAGTCAACAAGCTACAAACAAAACATTTTTTCAGCCTCCTTTAGAGAGAGAGCTCCATGTAGTCCTCTCTTATTTTCACAATAGTTTTATTTACAATCCCTAGCTGCCCTTAAAAAGAGTTTTCCCAGAGACAGATGAAGTGCCCACACAGGGATTTTCTCCTTTGACCTTTTTACACAAATGCCACCGTTTGGGCAGAGCTGTCTGGGCACCTGTATAAAGGTTGGGGAAAAAACGTTTCCTGTGTGATGGTTTTTTTTATAGTCATCGCTGGACAGAAACTAGAGTAATGTCCAGGCTATACTTCAAATTTGGGATTTGAAACACCAGACTAATTTTTTGGTATTTCTGAAGCTTTCCAGAATGTGTCTAACTTCTGATTTTCTTTTTTCTTACTAAAAAGCTCCAAAAACGAGAGAAGACATGCAGGGCTTACCTTAAGGTATCTCTCCTGTGCTGTCACCCTGCTTTCTCCCTGCTTCAGCAACCTGCCACGCTTTATCATCTTGCTGCATGATCCTATGTATTTCAGTCTTTGATAAATGTGTATTGTGCCCCATATCAGCTGTACAAATGTTGGCTTTGCACAGGTATAATACTCTGAAAAAAAAAAAAATTAAAGATCAAAGTTTATACCTCTTTTAACCTCAACTTGTTCAAAACTAAAAAAGCAGAAATGGTTATTATCTGAATTGGAAGTAATCTCTCATAATACAACTTTGCGTAGAGGAAAAAGCTGGCAGCTTCACAGAAATTATTTCAGCTTGGTAGTATTTTATATCAAAGACTGTTTAGAGTTAATTTGCTTGCATGAAAAATGTACATTATATAGCCTGCTTTGTTCTTTGTGTATTCTTATACCCAGTAAAATCACTCTTTCTTACAGTTTTAAGAGTTGTTACAAAGGCCAGATTCAGTGACTTCGGGATAAAATGTAAAGACAAACATTTCTCTAACTTTACTAGTAAAATGCGTGCCACGTGTCCCATTAACCAGGCTATATGGAAGCCATGTAACACATTGCTACCCGATTTTCAGTTTCTTTCATCTGCTGTAGAACAGTTGTCCGTAGTGGCCAGCTCCTGCTCTACAAATACAATGCCAGTAATGCCACCTCGCGCCTGTGAAGAAGAAAAAAAAAGTCCCAGAACAGATCGTGTCTGGTTCTGAAAAATTTTATTGCACATTTTTTCAAAGTTTCTTGTAAAATACCAATTTTCACTCGTACCCTCTGAGATAAAATGTAAGAATGATTTTTGAAAAGAACTTTGAAATACTTTGCAACATAATAAAATAATTCAGACTGTTACTGAAGAGACATTTCTCTGTACAGGGCGCTTCTGTCTTTTATCCTGCAGCCCAGGAAGTGGATGGGAGATGTCCAGTTACGCGAAAATTTGACAAAAAGAGACAAAGATCTGGAGAGATATTCCCTTCTCAAATAATAATAATTGTAATAGGCCTTTATTAGAAATTATTTTTTAATAGTAGAGAGAAATCCAGCAGATATGGTTTGAGTAGACTGAGTTTTCATACTTGCTTTTCAATAGCAAACATGGACACGAGGAGAGCAGTAATGGGGCTGCTCCAACAGCTCTGTCACGGGGGCTGCATGGACTTCCCACTGCCCGCCCGCCTCTGTCTGAGAGGGGAGAACTCCTCAGAGATACTACTTGGCAGGCGGTCATTTTCCACAGGCAAAATGCAGAGTTAGATTATCCCGTAATAAATAAAAAGCATCTCATATTAATGAATGCATACCGTCAGCGCTATATGGAGATACACAAGAAACCATAGCACAACCTTAATTTCCGACCGGTGTCATTTTCTGTAGGTCTCAAATGGGCTTCTCTGTTTAGATAAGACTAATAAACCTCTTGAAATTACAAATCAAAAGCTGACTTACACTATGCAAATGAAGCAAGTTCCCACTTTGTGACAGAGGATTCATTTGTACCTCAGATTAGAGGCTCCAATCTGTATTTCTTGGTGACTAATGAATCTGGCCTCTGCAGACCAATTTCTGTTCCACTCTAGTTAATGGCTGCAGCAGTATCAGTGTGAGCATTTTGACTATTCTGTCTCCCATTAGAGAAAGAAAAAAGGCTTTAATGCCACTTCGAAGTATCTTCCACCTGCCAGGAAGGTCGTGGTGGCTCACAATGCAGACAGAAAGAGGATATTAAAATGGATTAGGCTAATTAATCTTGCTCTGACAATAGCCTTGACCAACTTTTCCTATTCGTTTATTTGCACAATATAGTACTCCAGACCGACATCTTTCTGTTTGTACAGTGTGTTCTGTTTCCATTCCCAATGCTTTTAAATTGATCAAACAAATTATATATATGCTTAATGACACATTATGACTAGGGAAATGGGACAGAGTAAACAGGGTGTTTCAGCAATGCATGGCGTACTCAATGCACAGCATACTCAATGCACAGCTACATTATGCATTAATGTAAGAGCCTGCCTTCAATTGATTAACTGATTACTCTGATTGATTGGATTATTTTGTAAAAATAATGTAATCATGTCACTGAATTCTTCTTCTTCCTTATTTACTGTTACTTTATATGCAGCTTAATGAACCTTAAAACATGGTGATAGAGTTGTTACAAGAAAGACTTTTTAAAATGGCAGCTTTATTCAGTTTTACAGTTTTGCCTTCGCTGATAACAGGGACGGTCAGTGGACATCTTGTTTGCTCTATTGATTTCCTTTTTTAACTGACCTTTGTGCAGGAATGGGAGTTAGTAATCTTTTTAAGTATCTATGAACAGGTACAGGAACAGGAGGGGGAGTGAGAATGGCCCAGGCTAATTTATATCCACTGAGTCAGCTTCATTTCATGCCTCCTGTAATAAAGAAGGCAGTTTGTCATAGACAAGTGGTTTACAGTGCTATGGCTGCATGAGTTGGGCTAAGTTTCCAGAAGAGTATTGTTGTCATTTTAGCCTAAACTGCAGAATGCCAGTTTTGGCCTTAGTATTTTTAAATAGAAGTTACACATTTTGACATTAACTTTAAGATGAAAGCTTCAGGCAAAACTTCTGGCATTTATTTTTACATTTTTCAGCACATTAATAAGACCATCTTTATATCTGACACGAGTCAAATCTGCATGTTTACCACTTAGAGACCACACGATGCTAGTGGCTAACTGCACTTCTATTAATGCTAATCCAACGAGAGGATGGAAAATATTTTTATGTTGAAAATAGTTTTCTAGTGCCATTAAATCACAGTAAATGATTCTGACAGTTAAGTATTATAATTGTCACCAGATAACGTTGGAAATTTTCCCCAGCTGCCTAGGGCAATCAGACCTAATGATAGTTTTCTAATGAATGCAGGCAATTGTGGATACAGTGGACAACCTGCTCAGGCCTGAAGCTCTGGAGTCCTGGAAGGACATGAATTCTTCAGAACAAGCCCATGCAGCCACAATGCTACTTGATACATTAGAAGAAGGGGCTTTTGTCTTGGCTGATAACCTCCTAGAACCAACGAGAGTCTCAATGCCCACAGAAAATATCGGTAAGTAAATTTCTTTTCAAGCAGGATTTGAAATGCTGTGCATTGCTTTACGCAAAATTAGGAAAAAATATTCCTGGTAGAAACGTACCCTTTGAAAGCTGAGCTGTGCAACATTTGGTGGGAAGGTAAATGCTCCTAAGCAGGGAAGACGGGCTTTTCTTGTTTAGTTCGTCAAAATTAGCATTCTTCTTTAGTGTCATTAATACAGTGTAAAATGGAAAGTAGTTGCTGCTGCAAAGTTGATTTACCACTGAAAAATCATTAGCAGAATGTATGGATATGAAGAGTGCTTAAATGGCAGAGTATGGATTTTTTTGAGGTAACTGCTTTCTCTAGAGCTGCAGAAAAGCTTTCCTGTTATATATAAACTGTTCCTAATGAATTTAAATTACTTTTTTGCAATGTACTCTGCCAGTTAAATATTTTAGGTACTCAGAACATAGGCCAAATGTTTATATTAAACATGACTGCCTTCAGGTAAAAATGTGTTCAGTGAACTACATCTCCCATAATGCAGAATAGCTATGCTCCAGAGACTGCAATATAGCTGAAGAGAGTTGGAGCATAATTTGGAATTTAAGCGGTGACAGAGAAATGAAGGGGTTTGGTGTTAGAGATGTGCAAATATTGGTACATGGATGTGTTAAAGCAAAACTCACTGCTATGCATAAAATTAAAATTCCTTTATTTTATTACAGAGATTAATGTAGTCTCAGTGAGGTACAAGGAAGCTGAAAGTCTGCTAATTTGAGGGGTACTGAGATGGAGACCTGGAATAGACTGCAGAAATGAGACTTTTCACGTTTCAATGTCTGCATATTTGTAACTGTAAAAGATGATTCTGCCTAGTTTTTAATTTGAATAGGAAAATACTGGGAAAAGATGGGGAAAGGTGTTACAGTCCGTTATCAATGTAACTGCACCAGTTGTTTCTGAAGGAATGTGGGTGGAATCACAGAAAATCTCTCTCAGGATGTACATGAGTAGTTCTGTGGAGCTCGGTAGACTGTCTGAACATCACTTCTTGTCATAAGCTGTCTTCAAGTCATAATTAGTAACACATTACTGATGCCATGCAAGACTGAACTCCCAGTGCACATACATATGTATGGCACAGAGAAGGAGAAATCCTTCCCTAATTTCATACCTTTTGTCGGTCTATAGTTTAGACCTATAGTTAGACCGGTTTAATATAATGCAGATATTTGTCAACAAATTGATGGCTCTGACCTATATGATTTTACATATCCAAGGCAATCCAGCCTTCGAAGGTAATCTCATGGAAGCTTCCCAAGATACAATGTGTTACAAAATTAAAACTTAGGTAAGGGTGAGTGGCACCGAAGTTTTCGACTTAGATATTTTTTTAGCAGAACCAATAAAATGGTTTCCTATAAACCTTCATACAGAATTAGATTTAGGGAAAAAAATTGAATTTTTTTTTAGATATGAATACTGATTTAGCTAAATGCACGGCATAAGTATACTTTAGTATTCAGTTGCTGACTGTTTTAAAAACTATATCTAAATCAAGACTTAAAGTTCTAAATTTGTTAGCAGAGGATACTGCATAGATGTTAGGAGCTACAAAATTAACATTTCTCTGCAACGTGTGTGTGTGTGGTATTTTTAAGTGGATGTTTTGGGGGCACAAATTAAAACAAGGTTTGATGTCAAGTTATCACTATTAAAGTGCTGTCATTTTAGTAGCGTGCACTAGATTTAGTTAAAGAAACTAACTCTGTGTGCTTGAAACATGCAGCACAGCTCTGTTGTATGGTGGAGAATGAGGACAGCAGTGTCAGAAAACTAAGTAAAGAGTGGGGGAAATATTGTCATCTGGCATATTGCAGTCTGGCCAAAAGACTTTCTCTGCATTCTCCTTTTTTACCACTTTTTTTTCTTTTTTTTTTTTTTTTTCCTCTGGTCTGCTTAGTTTTGGATGTTGCAGTGCTCATTACCGAGGGCCAGGTGCAGGACTTGAAATTTCCTCAGGGCAGTAAAGGAGGCAACTCGATTCAGCTCTCTGCAAGCACCGTGAAACAGAACAGCAGGAACGGTGAGTCTTGGGCACGGAGCACTGAAACTCCATTAACTTTTATAAAACCTACATTACCTCCCCTAGTTAAAATACCAAAACAAAAACAACAAAACTGCTCTGTGGCTTTTTCTCAAAGATTGTGTGTACCTGGGCGTTTTTCTTCAAATCCATAGCCTGAAAATGCCTCTCTGTTTACTGATGCTTTACTGTCAGTTCATTAGCGTACAGGTTGCTGTCTTTCTGTAGACCTCTGTGGCATGATGATGGGATTTTTTTCTTTTGTAGGATTAGCAAAACTGGTTTTCATCATTTACAAAAGTTTGGGGCGTTTTCTCAGTACTGAAAATGCAACCATAAAGCTAGGCAGTGACTTTGCTGGGCGGAATAGCACGATCGCAGTCAACTCCCACGTCATTGCAGCCTCTATCAACAAGGAGTCTAGCCGGGTGTACCTGACTGATCCTGTGCATTTTACGCTGGAACACATTGATGTGAGTTATGCTAATGAATTAATGGGAAGGTCATAAAATCAGCAAGAGAGAAAAGCAATGCAGGAAAATAACCTTTTTTCCATTTGAATTTTAAATGTTGGACTAGGTCAGAGACACAAGCTTAGTTAAGTCTATGAACATAAAATTAAATGAGCCTGGTTCAGTGATTATTAGAACTTAAGTGTATTCTTAATGAAAGCTAATTCAGTAATGAACATGCAAGTGTAAATGACTAATTTGTTTCTAACTGAAAATTAACTCTTACCTTAGTCGCAGGGTAGAAAATAACTGTTAAGATTCTTGATGGTCTGATGTAGCAAGTTTGAATGACACTTTAACTTTTTACATTAATTTTGCACCAAGTTCTGGAAGCCCATACAAATTGTTTAAATGCATTTATTCAGTGAAGAAAAAGGTATTGTATCTTGGTTTGTTATACTTTAAATTTGTGTATATTTTTTCATGGTAATTTATTTGATGTGGTTTTGCTCCTTAGTTTGGTCCTTTCTGTTTTCATGTCTCACATGTGGAAAGTGAATAATCATTGCTATGATAGAGAAAATACAATCGGATTTTCCTCTCATTTTGCCTCTTTTTATAAATCTGTTTTGATTGTTTCTCATCAAAATAGGAATTAACAATTGAGGAATTAACTTTTTCCTAATGTCTGTTCACATGACTTTGGCCTGACCAAAGGTGAGAATCAAAGGAAAAAGAACATATTTTCAAATTCTCAATTACAGGAAAAACAGCTGAAATTTATTCTTAAGAATAAATTCACAGTCCTAATTTTGCAGAAAGCAAAAATGGCTATAATGTACCATCAGTGCATAAAATCGTAAGATGGAAATTGTAATTGTTTAAAATTGGGTCTACAGTAATTGAGACTACACTTCAGAGTGTTTCGGACTATAAAGTCCCTTTTAAACTAGATGTCTTCCTTGTATAACATGGTCCACAATTTTGCTGATGAAAAACTTTATTGTCTGAAACATGCAAAGTTTAATCTAAATTACCCTTTACACATATTAAACAATTGTTATTGCCATCTTAGTGTGTAAAATCCTCATTTTATGTTATCCTTTTATCTCCCAGCCTGACAATTATTTCAATGCAAATTGTTCCTTCTGGAACTACTCAGAGAGGACTATGATGGGATACTGGTCAACTCAAGGCTGCAAACTGGTTGACACAAATAAAACTCATACAACGTGTGCTTGCAGTCACCTAACCAACTTTGCAATTCTTATGGCTCATCGGGAAATTGTGGTAGGTAATGACGTTTCTAGCCAGCGGCAGGAAACAAACTTTTAAAGACTTAGCTTGAAATTTTTAGCAAGATCCAAAATTGCTGAAGTTTCTTAAGTATTTATAGCTTCTACCCGCTCTTTCCAAAGCAATTTGCTTTCTGTAGCACTTTTCTTCCTCACCCATAAAGTTACAAGCAAAATAACAGGAAAGAAAAACAAGAAAGGACTTGAGTTTACTTCAAGTCATATTTTAAAGTTACTGACCAACGTTACAACCGTTTTACAGCCTTCCCTTCAGTACAGCTGCAGAGTATCTGTAGGGGCAGCTGAGCAGGCTGTTCCCTGGAAGCACAAGTGCCAGCTCTCCTTAGAGCAGGAAGGTCAGGGAGCTTCCACACTGGTTGTTCAAATGCCTCTTCATACTCTGAAATTTTGTTGTCTAGTTAAAGCACTTACTGGATGTCAGGGGGCCCAGAGCATGCAATATTTGCAAGGGTATGAGACTTCTTATAAAGTCGTTGTATTTGGAAAGGTCGCTGAAAAGATAACCAAGATGGCAAAAGTGGTTCTGTCGCAACTGAAGCAAGGAACCTTCTTTAGCTAAACGTGAGATTAGAGCTGGAATTACATGTGTAACGTATTCTGCATTTTGTCCTAATTGGTGTGTAAATCGTTGCTTTCTTCTCCTCCATGGAGTTGTAGGAAAGAACATGTACTCTTACAGGAGGTCCCAGGGAAAGCTCTCCTCTTTGTTTGCCTCAGAGCCTAGTGGCACTTTCAAAACGTTCTGTTTCTCTACTTGTTCTTGTCTGACAAGTTTGCTGCAAGCCGTAAGAAAAGTAGAAATGCTATCTGATCTGGCTAAAACAGTCACGTTTTTCTCTCAGACCTGCTCCTCTTCTACTTACCTAATCTTGCTCTTCTGGGAAGCTGACCTGAGACTGAGAAACTACTGAGTACATTTTGCCCATCTCATGTAATGAACAAGTAACTTTTGTGGATGCTGCCTGTGAAAATAGGTTTTTGTTTATACTCATAAAGAGTCATATTAATTTTCTCCATTCTTCGTTATTTCTAGTACAAAGATGGAGTGCACGAATTGCTCCTCACTGTCATCACCTGGGTGGGAATTGTCATCTCTCTTGTTTGCCTGGCCATCTGCATCTTCACATTCTGTTTTTTCCGTGGCCTGCAAAGTGATCGTAACACTATTCACAAGAACCTTTGTATCAACCTATTCATTGCTGAGTTCATTTTCCTAATAGGCATCGATAAGACAGAGTACAAGGTAAGTTTTCTCTGTGTGTAGTGATCTTGTTCTCTGAAGTGACTGTTTGAAATGGATTTGAATTAAAACATGACAACGCTGCCAAGCTTTCAGCATTCTGACACAGCAAGCCTGAAATAAAAGCTGTGTGAAAATAAGATAGACATGTTCATAAATACTGTTTACATCCATCAAAAATATCGCTGTGGCCTTAATTTCCCACACTGCAATGTTTTTCATTTTCAGTTGAGAAACATCAGCTATTAATGAAACAGGTGGTTAAACTTTTGAAAGAGGAGATGAAATTAAATGTTGACGTACCAGGAACGTATATATGTTTTCTCTATGTATGCGTATGTCTCAACAGCTATTGACTACTTTTTTGTATATAAATATATATATTAGTACAGAGCCATATCTATATGTTTACATATTTTTTACACTGTACATTCATGCAGGTTTTTTTGCAGTATTGGTGAAATTAATTCTGAAATGATTCATTGGGTTGAAGTCTAATAATTCAGCATAGTTTCATCCAGAACTCAGCCAAAGGGGGAGAATTCAGATTGATTTCTGTTACAACAGTAGAAACTTCCAAATTACAGCCATAAAAATGGCTTGATGGCTGCTTCATAATTTTAAATAAGCAGTATTCCATTATGCATCTAGAACCAACTGTTCATGTCTCAGATTATCTAAACTGTAAGGCCTAAAACGCTACCAGTTTCAAAATTTGTTGCTTATAAAATTGGAAAATCCACTCTATAATTGAAAACTGGTGGATGAGGGCATGATTTCCTTATCTTCATTCACACTGTTTAGCTAGTTTTACTTTCTGTAGCTACTGAGCGCCCATTAGTATTTTCAAATGTTCAGTGTGTGTTTCAAGGTAGGGAAAATGCTCCTGAATTTCTGAAACCTCTCTGATAGAACTATATGCTGTTCTATTGCACCCTATTTAATTGGAGATGTAACGATGTGAAGATTTTGTGGTTTATGTTTCCATCTTTCTTTTTCTTTGCAGATTGCATGTCCAATATTCGCAGGTCTCTTACACTTTTTCTTCCTGGCAGCCTTTGCCTGGATGTGTCTAGAAGGAGTGCAGCTTTATCTAATGTTAGTAGAAGTATTTGAAAGTGAATATTCTAGGAAGAAGTACTATTATGTTGCTGGCTACCTCTTCCCTGCTACAGTAGTTGGTGTCTCAGCAGCTATTGACTATAAGAGCTACGGAACAGAGAAAGCGTAAGTAATTGCAAGTGACCTGAGTGTTTTTCAAGTGAATAATTTTTTAAAGCCTGTTAGCTGTCAGAGGGTCCCTGACAGACTAAAATACCATCTGAAAGCTTTATTGGTAAGAGAATGGCAATGCTGTGCACAAATTACAATCAAGTCTTTTGTAATTCTCTAGGTTCAGAGGATTTGTACTCTAGAGAGACCAATTCTAAATTATGGTCTTTCTTTTAACACAAAAGATTGACCTGAAACAAATTGAAAGAGTAAATAACTTTCTGGCCTCAAATGTATATTAAGTAAAAATTCTCAACTTAAACTATCTGACAGGCCTAACCGCCCAGTTTTAAGCTAATGCTTCATTAGATCTCTTTGTTCAGCTGCCCCTCTAGCTAACTCTCGGCCTGCATTACGACAGTACGATATTCCAACCCGTATGTTTCACTTCGATAATATTTTATCAGGCGAGTAGAGCAGGATTAAAATTAGCCACTGCCTTTTATTTACAAAAATACAGATATATGTAGAAAGTGACAGAAGGTAGGTGGAAAACATTTCTGAGGATTTGAGTTGCTGGAGGCATGATTGTGCCTTCCAATAGTGTTTACTTTGTCCTTTGATGAAATTAGTTACAGAATGGCAAGATATTGTTGACTACAAGAAAGCTGCTTGATTTTGCTACTGATGAAAGACAAATAAGAGCAATTCAGCAGGGAATTGGGCTGTATGAAAAACGAATCCCTAAGTGAAGTTGGCCCTAATAGGTTTACATGTCATTTAGTCTGGTATCATATGTATTCTTTCTCTACTGTTGAACTCCCAGTTGGGGCATTTTATTTCTACCATATTGTTTTTCAGCAAAACATGGCATCTGAACGTTTTCCGTCTCATATTCTTCAGGAGTGAGCGCTTTGCGTATGATAGAAAGTTAAAAGCAGATTTTGAAGATTACATGGAAAACCTGTGAAAAATATTTACTGATCTTAGGTTTATTAGTCCATGATAGCACCTGTGACCAAACCTTTTGACTGAAAGGAGAGAGATGGGTTTGGTTTTGTTTCTTCTTATATGCTAGCTATTCCTGATGATGTATTTTCAAGTTCAATAGTGTTATTAAACAGGACTCATCTGAAGAGTTTCAGGTTAGGAAAAATTGTCCATGGATGAAGTGGTACTGTGCAATATTTATCATTGTTTATCATTGTTTACTGGCAAAATGTTAGCTTAAGAAGTATTTTTGTACTTCCCATTTGTTGGACTGAGGTGCTGATGCAATTGTTCACTTTTCATTCTCTTTTTTCCATGATAGTTGCTGGCTCCATGTAGATAACTATTTTATCTGGAGTTTCATTGGACCTGTTACCTTTATTATTCTGGTAAGAACTTTGTTTTTCCCTTTCCTTTTAGGTTGCCTCACAGCAAAGTTAAAAAGATTGAATAACATCAGTCAATACCATCCTTATTCACAAGACATTTCATGAAAATGCTTATAAACAATTTGTAATGTGACCAGTGGTTGTATAAATGTTTAGAAATCTTTAAAGAGTGCTAACCAAATGATTAATTGTCAAAGCTGTGGTGGCACTTCAGCATAGCCATTTTTTCCTAATGGCTTGAACTCTGAAGGACGTATTGACATGTGTAGTCATATGAAAAATCAGTGAAGTACTAAACGCAGGGGTTTTTTTAAAGAAACCATTATTATTGCTTTCAATTGAGTCACTATTGTACACCTTCCAGAATTTAACTGCTAATTATCCAACATAATTATCTCAAAAGGGTGTTCTAACGCATTGGACAATTAAATAAATCTTATATTTCATTACACTTACACAGTATTTGTATGTGTATTTGCATATGCATATGTGTGTTTTTCCATGACTACTGTTAATGTGTATTTATGCTACATGTAAGGTATGTCAGACATACAGGTCCATCTGTTTTAGCATAAATAATAGTATATTATGTAATCAGTAGAAAGCATATACGCATTCTTGCAATCATTTGAGTAAAGTCATTGTATGCATGCACACCCATCTGTACACCCACAGCTGTGTACCCCATTGTCCATTTAAGATTGAATGTTGTGTTCATACATCAATTATCCATGAGTGCTTTCAGGTAAAAAGCACACAGTGATCTGCAAACCCAGGGAAAAAACATCTCCCTGTTATTTCATGCTAATAATACCAACACTGCACAACATAGAAATTTGGAAGGAAAGTGAATGCAAGATGTGCATTTTGGCTCACTTTGTTTTTCTCTGCTAGTTCAGTATCTTTAAAGCCCAGCTATACCTGGGAAATATTTTAGAAGGCTGGTGCTGGGGACATAGCCTGTGTACCTAGAGAGCTTTTCTCAGAACTGCTGGTAGTTTGGAAGGATGAATTAATTTGTTTTCATGCTTTTGAAAGTCTTAAATAGTTGCTTGTTCCCTTGCCTTCATACAGTAGTAGAGTTGTGAAGTGTTAACAGAAGTTCAGCTCCCCTGAATTTCCAAATTCAGGAATTGTATTTTGTCATTATTATTTTTTCAGACTGAAGCACATGCATCAGGCATAATTTTGAAATTTCTGACTTTTATAGATGTATATGCCAGACGTACTATTTCAACACTTTTTGTAGCTTATAGTTTACATTACTTCTCCATGTAAAAATAAACTGATACTTTGATTATAACTTTCTATAAAAAATGTACCCGGCCATCTTTTGTAGGTACTTTATTCCTTCCTGGTATCTTCAATATTAAAATAAGCTTATGTATATTTGGGTTGATTTTACTCTCTGTTTATATCAAAAACTATTTCAGTCCTTGAGCAGTCACTTAAGGTAGTTGTACAGCGTAGAAGTTGTTTGAGTTCATTCGCGTGTTTTCAAAGAAATAGTCATAGATGCCAAAACTCATGTGTGTATGAGTTGAATTAGAAAAATTACACTGTTTGTAAGATTTAAGTATAAACCATAATAATTGTACAGAGTTTATTCTACATATATTTAAATTAGATCAAGTCTCAGGATGATAGGGATTCTTTTTTAATTAAACCTACAATTACAATTGAAAGATATACTTTGTGTTTTCAATATGGTAGGCAATGTTTTTCAACACAAAGTTGTTTCTCGCAGTTGTTGTAATCATTACTAGAAAATTGTTCTAAGTTTCATGCCACAATAGTTCAGTTACCTCAAGTCTGATTGTGTGGTGATAATTTTGCTTTTTGTGTCTAGCTTTTTATTTTATTGTTACTGGGAGTATTTTGCTAAGTCACCTCTATTTCTCTCCCTTGCTTTAAAATAACATTTCACATGGGAAGCTTTGGGCATTGCTGACGGCTTTTTCACTTCCTCATAACCAGGTCAGAGTGAGAATAGAGGTGAAGGACATTTAATCATATTGACCATGTACAGACATAGTTCACTATTATTTACTGGCCATGACATTATTATCCTCCAGCAAATCATTTAGGCTGAGGCGCAAAAGGCCTTTGGGAGCAGTATTCCCAACTTCAAAAATATGAAACAGCAGGTAGCAATCACAGCACAGTTCCTGGGAGTAATTCTTCTCTAGCAATTGCTTTGCCCTCTAATCGTCCCAACTGAGAAAGCAAGAGAGACTGGAGGAAGAAGTGTGAGAAGTGTAATGGCTGAAAAATAATATGTCATGTGCAGTGTAACCAAAGAGCCATATTTGTAGTGTAGCTTACTTGGTGTCAGTAGCATGTGAGAATTTCCCCTTGGTAAGTTTTTTAACATGTTAATCAAATCACTTTTGTGATTCTTAGTTTAATAGTACTGTCAATGCACACGAACTCTTTTTTGACAATAGTGCTTACTACTTTAATTTACAATTTTTTCCCCGAGTTTATAAGCACTTGCACTTGTATGCAGGTTTGCACAAAATGAGGATGGAAAATATAGGGCGGAACTAGGAAGTTCCTTAGTACATCTTCTGAGGAACATTCAACTATTTCCATAGCCTGTCATGCCTTTGGGCACCAGGGTTATTATATCTATGAGAAAAGAGCATGTAAGTAATGAGCGGTGGGAAACCATTAGTATGCCTGAAATGATTTAATGAAAGCTTGGATCATGATACGTCAGGAGCTGTTCTTATCATTTGGACAGCTCCATCTGCATCTTTAATAATTAATTCAGTTCAGTAAGAGTTCAGCGTGCACACTCATTTGGAAGCCTTCTTCAGAGAGCACCTCTGTCGCTGCCAGTCCCAGAGAGAAATAGGCTTCTGCATGGCTAAGAGGAAAGATCCGGAGATACAAGAGCAGTTTTAGAGCTGCATTTGCCAGGTAACAAAAGCTCCGGGGAGTTCAAGAAGGGTCAGAACATGTGCAGTTCAGCTAGGTTACTTCAGAGTGCTGTTTCTGTTCTTCTGTCTTATCATATCCATGTCAGCACTGCAGGCTGTGTGGAATGAATTTTAAGCTGCTAAGCTCAGGCGGACGTGATTCAATTGAGCAGGTTGATGGCTATAAAACAAACAGTGCGCTCCTGTAATCTGTGGTCAGAAAAACCTGAGTATTTTGACTTCTGTGCAGATCCATATTCATTCTTATCCAGGGAATGGATGATGTTGGTTTGACTTCAATTCAGCCAAAACCATTGGAGTTCGCTTCTCGCAGATGGAGCCAATATATTAGGCTACCAAAGGTTGTTTAAGCAAAAGTTCCTAGGATGTCCTTTCTCATTAACATAAGAAAGATAGTTTCTTTTTTCACTCAGGTTGAGGCATTACTTCACCAATGTCAGTGAATGTATACTTACAGATGTACACATAATCTAGCTCCGCATATGAAAATGGACTGTATTTGTAAGCTTATGTATATAAATAATACACGTATGTCTTTCTATAGTAGACGCTTGATAAATGGTATTTATCTATTGCTCACAGAGGGAAATTTATCATAATTATTGCAAAATATAGCTTTATTTGGCTACCAATGCATCGTACCTGCACTAATTCCAATCCATTAGTCTTCTGTGCAGGTTATTACATCCGCTTTTTTAAAAAGTTAATTTGACTTGAAGACACTTCCTCTCTCAAAATTACATAGGTTGCAGGTGCCAGAAAGCCAAAATTCGTACTTACTCCATCTTTCATGTCCATTACCTTCTGATTTCCAAACCAGAAATTGCCCTCTGTGTGTTGGCTATGAAAGAAGCATGATCTTCCAGGGTGCTGCATTTGATTATTACCATAAAAATTCTTCAAATTTCATATTTTAAAGTAGTTACTTTTTATTTTTTAATATATCTCTAATTGTCTGTCTTTCACTCCGTTCAATTACACTTGTCATATGAAGAGATAAGTAGGAACTGATATTTGAAAAAGTCCTCTAATTTTTTTTTTTTTCACTTTTACATACTTTGCTAAAATCAGAATATAGATTAAGCTAGTTCTCTATGTAATCCAGTATCCTGTCTCTTACAGCGGATAATATATTTTATAAATTACAGCAAAAACCTGCTATAAACATTAATGAAACACTATCAATCCAAGTTTTCGCTTATTCTTATCAGGTAATGGTTTAAGAGATCTCACATTATAGCTCCACCTACTGTAACTGTGTTTTGTCACTCTCACCCTTGGGATCACAGCAGAATCTTCAAATCCAAATATGATGCCTGACCAGACTTCTAATTTCTTATTTTTAGCTTTCGAAAGAATGTTGGTCTGATTTTCAGAAGTGCAGGATGAAAGATGTTTTACTGACTTTATCAAGGGTATAATTTCACAACTGCTTGAGGTGTATACACGGTGGCTGTGTATGTGTTTACACAATGTATTTGTATTTTTTATTATCATTGAAGGAGAGCGGTACTGTTCAGGTGCAGATTTTGGTTCATCTGGGGTGGATGCAGCCCAGTTGTGGGGATGAAGCCCAGCCAGTCGCTAGCCCTTTATGTTATATGAAGTGATGAGAAACGTCATTGTCATTTTTTCCCTTACAAGTTTGTTTTCAAAAGCTCATCTTGCCATTCATGTGGGCCTTTAGGTGACCCCAGAGTACTGCGTGTTTGTGGTGAACATTCTTCTTAAAGAAAGGTGTCTTGCTCGGACCACCTGTCAAGCTTGGAAAACATCTACAGATTCATTTGCTTAAATCAGTAACAGTTCAGTCCTCACACAGTCATGAAACAGGTCAGGTTGGAAGGGACTGCAAGAGCTCTGTGGTCCAACCTCCTGCTCAAAACAGGCTCACCTCTGAGCTCAGACCAGGTTGCTCAGGGCTGAGAAAGCTTTCCTTATACAAAGTTGGTACAAATGAATGCAAAAGCACTAAGCATGTTTCCTTCTCCCCCCATGTATTTCTCACCAAGAAAAGTAATACAGCTATTCCTTCTAAAAGCGATTATTCTCCAGCAAGATCCCTTCCCTTACGGCTTAGTGTCTTGTGTAATAAAATGGCAGGATGCCCAAAAGTCTGTAACTCCTGAGTTCCTCTAAAACAGTCAATTTCTAGATGAAGAGCAGTAGGGGAGCCAAAAGCAAATCTATAGAAAGGTTTGGTTACAGTATTTGTAAGTGGGCAAAATAGGCTTTTGGTAATGATACAATGTATAACAGAGATGCCAGCATGTTTGAACAAGTGGCAAACTATGGTCTTTTGACTGCTGAAACTGAAAACTATGCAATATTTCACAGTGATGGAGAAACAAGTATCATATGCTCTGTTGTCATAGTTACTTTGTCCTCAAAGTACAGTATTTTGCTTTTTTTTCTTTTTTTCTTGGAAGGACTTTTTCAGCTACTGTGATACAGCATTATTATTTCTGTGGGCTGCTTTTGGGGTTGTGTACCTAAATTAGAATTAAAGTGTCTATTAAGAAACTGCTATGTGCAGTTATTCCCTAGTCCAGCAAGGCCACGTGTACAGGCAGAGCTGAGTATCTACATGAAACCTGCTTAATACACTGGAACTTGCCTCAGGCTCTGGGGTAGGGCCATGTCTGCTTGCATGTCACTGAAGGAACCTCAGTATGTAAATACAAGCTTTTATTTTTCATATGTCAAACCAGCACTTCAGTCACACAAAGAATCGGAGGATAAAACCCTCTCATTTCATAAGGCAGTCATTTATGGGCTAAGCCACGTCTATGAGTTTTTGATCCAAGAACGACGTTGCTGGTACAATACAGGATACTCCAGGGTAGCTACTTAGGCAAGGATTAGCTTCCAGCTGTGCTGTAAGTACTATTCTGAACTGGATTGTGCACTCCCGGTTGCATAGGTTGTAGCCAAAGTTGATTTACATGTTAGGATTGGCATGAGGCATGTCTCTCAGCTCTTAATCTCTTTGTTTTCACAAAAAGTTAAATCAAAGTACATTTTTTTAGGCAGGCTGGAGATGTTCATGTATGCCAGCTACCAAAATGTGCAAGAAACTTTTTCAAATACAGAAGAAGAAAGTCTGCCTGCAAAGGCATGGAACTGAGGGTCAAGTCACGCGCAGAGCTCCCATCCTCTGTCTGGTGCAAAGGGCAGGGAGAGAAGCAGTTTGTTTTTTCCCCCAAGAAACGTACGCAGTACACTGGAAACCTAGATACGAGGAGCAAAACGATCACAATGTGCTGTGGTTTAACCCAGCTGGCAACTGAGCCCCACACAGCCGCTTGCTCTCTCCCCTCCGGTGGGACGGGGGAAAGAATCAGAAGAGTAAAAGGGAGAGAAGTCATGGGTTGAGATAAAGACAGTTTCATAAGTAAAGCAAAAGCCGTGCGTGCATGCAAGCAAAACAAACCAAGGAATTCATTCCCTGCTTCCCACGGTCAGGCAGGTGTTCAGCCATCTCCAGGAGAGCAGGGCCCCATCATGCGTAGCGGTTACTTGGGAAGACAAAACGCCAGCACTGTGAACATCCCCCCCATTGCTGCTTCTTCCCCCAGCTCTATATGCTGAGCATGACGCCGTACGGTGTGGAATATCCCTTGGGTCAGCTGTTCCGGCTGTGTCCTCTCCCAACTCCTTGTGCCCCCCAGCCTGCTCGCTGCTGGGGTGGGGTGAGGAGCAGAAAAGGCCTTGACTCTGTGTAAAGCGCTGCTCAGCACTGTTTCCAGCACAAATCCAAAACATGGTCCCATACAAGCTACTATGGAAAACATTAGCTCTATCCCAGTCAAAACCAGTACAGTGATACAATGAAGTGTTTCTCAACTGGTTAGTCATTACCTATACGAATCATAAAAGGTAAGCAGCAGGGTCATGGGATATTGACACTTCTATTATGTTTTGCAGCAATGGAAATCGTGCTTAAGCTACAGCATGTACATAGCTCCACTTGAAGGTCAAGTATTTTCTGTCAGTTCTTGAAACACGGAAATAAATTAGAAAAGCTTATTTTTGTTACTTGTTTCACATATACTTTTTGTATTAATCTCAAGATACAGTTGTAAAAATGTTTTACTTTGTATCAGGACTGATGAGGTCAAAAGCTGCAAAACACCGTTCTGGTCTTGCAGACTGCATTGTAGTTCATACTGGCCATCCTGATTTTGAGATAGCAGCAACAGTGGTAACGGCCTTAGCCATAGGAATTATTTGTATAATACATGTCTCTATTAACAGACTCTGATCAGAGCCTTCAAAATACTCCTTTTTTCTAGATTGTTAAGACCCACTCTTTAGTAGGATTTGAGTGACATTTCTGACCATTGTGGCACAGCTGTAGGAACACATTTGGTATGAACTGGTACCCCCAATGTTACCAAAATTGTGAGGAGGATTTTGTCTCAAATCAAAGGCTCCCCAAAATGAGAGCCTGGGCTTGATCATTCTCCATCAGTAACCAGCTGCAGATACATGCGGAAGATTTGAGGAATGGGGTTATAATCTATCCAATCTCTGTGTTATAAGGATGTTCAAGCATATTCTCCCATCTTCTCTTAGCTATCAGTTCAGCCATTTCTTGTGGAGCATTGTGCTAGTAGATGAGGATGTATGTCTTCTCCGTGAAAGGACATAGCTCTTACTGTTTTCAAATATAGATTTTATTTGAATTGTCTGCATGATGTAGGGCAGCGCATACTAATTACTGAGATTAACTGTGTACCACTTTTCAACCCATATTCTACAGGGATCCTTGTATTTGGCTTACCTGTGTTCTTCACATGCTTTGAAATCGATAGGAGAAAGGCACCTACTATCTTTGATATCTGTGATACTGTTTTACAATAGGAAAACTATAAAAAATTACCTTCAGTATCTTCCCTGGTGTTATCTATATGAATGACACAACAAGAATAAGACAGCATAGTCCTTTCCTTCAAGTGGCATGTGGTCTCGCTTCGACAGAATCCAGACTACAAAGGGAAAGGGCAGGAGGAGGGTGCACCACCAGCACATGTCTATGGCACTGCTAAGTTTGATGCATTTGCTACATCTTTGTGTATCTTTTTCTTTTTCTCTTTCTTCAGTTACATTTAAGCTGTTTTCAAGACCTCAGTGGGATTTGTGAGAACAAAAGGGAATAAAAAAAAAAAAAGAAAGGGAGAAGCCAGCAAAGGCGAAAAACATTCCAGAGCAGGATGGGGTGATAAAAAGACAACTAGTGTAGAACAGTAAAGGGGTAACCATAGACCTCAGAGGAGGTCAGTGAGATGGGGAAGAGGGCCAGAGGTGAGAGGCGAAGGTGAACAGGGGCTGAGCGCAACATGCTGGAAGACAGAGCTGGACTGACAACGACAAGTGTTGGACATGAGCTCAATATGGTGGTTCACGATGATGAGGTGAATTTGGAAAATTAAGTGAAACAAGGACTTCTAACTTTCTTTCCCCTCATCTGTATTTGCAGTCACCTTCTACAGGCTGCCTGATAATAGTTACCCAGTTTCGCTACATATTTGAAAATAAACTACGGGGGTTTTGTTTAGTCTATAACATCATCATTGTTCAACCTATTACTTGAAGTAGTTTAATTTCATTCTTATCTGTTTTGACAGCTGAATCTTATCTTCCTGGTGATCACATTGTGCAAAATGGTGAAGCACTCAAACACTTTGAAACCAGACTCTAGCAGGTTGGAAAACATTAAGTAAGTGCTTTGTGTTCAAGTATGAGAACTATGATTATTTTCTGATTGCTGAACTGATTGAAAGCTACTCTCCATTAGGAGCACATGCCATTGTCTCCCAGCAACTGCAGATGTCAATTAGAAGCAAACAGAGCCAATCCTGCTTTCGTCACATTGTTGCTGTAATGTCACAAACGCCGGTCAAAATTAGATAATTTCAGCCTGGAACTAGTGCCAAGAAACTGTTTCACGGAAATGCCACAGCGCTGTAGTAATTTCATTTGTATTTAAAATGCAGTTCAAAAATGATGTTCCTGTTTGCATGGCTGATATGATTATATTAAGTTTGTTTTGTTAAATGGCTTTTTGATTTAGGGATTCTGAGCAGTTTCTACTCGTAATCCTGTTCTCCCAGGAGAATTGACTCTATTATTATTGTTAACTTGAAGATTATCTGCTGTTTTCATGATACTTTAACAAATGTTTACTTTATCATGGTGCTGTACTGCAGTATCCCTTTTGCAGAGTAATATGTGTTACATAATTAACAAGGCTTTGGCAGCTCGTGCTTCTTTAGTTAGTTTTTACTGTATTCGGTATAGCTTTACGTTGTACTGAAGGTTTTTGTTATCAACACTGAAGGGATGGTGCAACTTTCTAACACTGAGGGTTGGACGTGAAAGGGTCTTACACATTTGCTTTGAATGTTGAAAATGGCAAAGGGAGATTTTCAGTAAGGCTAACGTTGTGAACTAGATGTTCTAAATAGGTCAGTATCAGCTTCATTGCATGTTGCATGATGAGAGAGAGAGCTAATCTCTAGCATCTCTCTCTTTTCTTCCTTTTCCTCTTTCTGTCTTCTCATCCACACCAGTAATTACCGTGTTTGTGATGGCTACTATAATACGGACTTACCTGGGTAAGATAGAACCCTACATTAACAAATTTCTAGCATGATTTTTAACTTTACAAACTCGGTCAATATTGTGGATTTCCCTTAATTTTAATTAACTAGTTTTGAGATACCTGATTTGCTAAAGAATTTTTAATTATTATATGCCTTTATAATTTTAAATTGCTTGCCTCTGCATTTTGAATTTCCTACTTTTGACTAATTTTTATAGACAATTAAAAATGTTTTTATTAATTTCTGTTTCAATTCTGTCTAATAATTTTGTTTCTCTTTTCTGCTTATAATGCTTTCTAGCTATGAAGATAATAAGCCATTTATCAAGTAAGATCATTAGTTAGATGTGGAATTCACTGACTAAATTCCCTTTCCCTTTCATTCTGTGCCGTTCTCTGCAATTCCTTTTCCTTAAACTATTCATGATGGAATCTTTTTTAGACTATTCTGTAGAGCAATATCCATATTTTTGTCACATTTCAGCAGGGTTTCTTCATGCGGAAGTTAGATCATCTAGCTTCAGTTTAGCTGAGTTTATCGGAGCATTAAAGATTTGGGCTCTAGGCTTTTAATCTGCTGTTTAACCTTCGTGCATTTGTGTTACATTATTTGGTGTCATATGGCAGCACCACTGTTTAAAATCTATGGTGTGATTAGTGGCTAAGCCAGATTTATCAATCTCTTTTGTAAAAGCAGATAAAGCAATGGAGTAGCTGGGGCTTGTGCTATACTTCTGCATTTCAAAATAGTTTTGACATCCTATGCAGTTCTTGAGAAAGAAAAAGGTCATATCTACTCTTGCTGTTTTCACTGGAGACTAAGAGTACCAAATGGAATTGTTCTTTCTTTAATAGATAAAAGGTTAAACCCAAGGAATTTTTACATTTGAATATGAACCTAGTAAAAGTCAACTGCAGGAACTGAAATGTTAATATTGGATTTGGTGACATGCATTCTCATAAGTAATGTTACTAAAATTAATTTTCTTTTACAGATCCTGGGTCCTGGGTGCATTTGCTCTCCTGTGTCTCCTTGGCCTAACATGGTCATTTGGCCTGCTGTTTATCAATGAGGGGACTGTTGTGATGACGTATCTCTTCACAGTATTTAATGCTTTCCAAGGAATGTTTATTTTCATCTTCCATTGTGCCCTTCAAAAGAAAGTAAGTTACTGAAAACACAGACGTGTGTTCCCTAACTCCTTAAAAATACGACTTACATTTCTTAAAAAGCAGAGAAAAAAAATAGCAATGGCAAGAACTGGAGTATTTTGAAGTAGTTTGAGGAGGGGACTAGGATTCAAAAGCAATTGAAAGTAACTGCTCTGTGGCCTGGGCAGGTTTAAAGTGGATGCAGCATTTCCAACCTGGGCTTGAAAAGTTTTGAGGCTTCGGGAAGAAAATTACTACAGAAAATGTACCGTTTAACCTTGGTAATGTGGTACATATTAGTCTGGACTTACAGCCAAAAGTCCTTAATGTGCACATGAAAAATCCTGCCTCTGCTGCAGCACTGCAAACAAAGGATCATTTACGGTATCAGCGCATCTCAGCCTGGAAACTCTCTCTCTTTCTCAGATCAAGGTAGAGGACCTCTCCTGAGATCCCATTAAGCTGCCACATAAAGCTACGGGTGACAGGCAGGGATTGTACTACGAGTGCTTGTTCATTACAAAATTAAGTGAGATCTAAAAATTAATTTTATTACGAACTTTGACACACCTTAGAAAAAAGTAGTCATTAACACTAGCCAACTGCTAACGGGGAGAGTTTTCCAAAGATGCCAGCATGACTACTTTTTTTCAAGTGTTTGCCTCCCCCAGCAATCCAACAGCTTCGTGCTCTTAACTGGAAAATCTGGAATCCCCTGGCAAGAGCCTTCCCACATGAGTGGGATGTGCTACATTAGTTCTGCTCCCCTTCACCCGATGGGAGCAGAGGGTTCCAGAAGGAGCAGATCTGCTGGGGAGAGGGAAGGCTTGCATGGGAGAGAGGAGTAAACAGGAGAGAAAGAAGTGAAGGGCGCAGCCGGGTGGGATTCTCTTTGGGTTCCCTGCATCCCTCCTCTTCCCCAGACTGGGGGCGGGGACTGCTTCTGAGGATGCCTTCGAGGTGCTTTAGTGAAGAGCAAAAGAAAAAAGCTCATAGCCTGTGTTAGAAGGCGTAGCAAATGAAAGTAACAAGAGTTGAGAGGAAGGGTAAAGGTCAAAAAATCCCACCCAAAAAAACTTAACATAAAATGCAATAGATACTGCATTTGGAAATACCCAATTTGCAATATTTAGATTCTAAATATTTTTACCAGTTTTAGGCTGGAGACCTAGCACTTATTAACTCCCATTATAATTAGCTCACCAGAGACATAATTAACTGATATTTATAAAATGGTTTGAGACCATTGGATAAAGCATTGCTGTGTAAGTACAAAAATCACGTCCTTGTGTGTTCTCAACTGTACCAGCTCTAACAGTATCAGCGTCTCTAAATTCGGTGTAGACAATGGCATTCAGCCACGTTTTAGGAAAAGATCTGGTAGGCAGAAAGAATTTTATCCAGATGAACACCGCACTTCTCTCATTTTGAGAGAACAAAAGCACACTTAGAGAGGAGATTGAGCCTAAGAAAAGAAGAGAGGGAAGAAAATGCAAACATTCTCAAAATGCAAATAATTTCTAGATTAGCGTTTCATTTAATGCTGCCCTTTCTACCACTTGTACTGGACTTGAAAATCAAAAACAGATTCCTTTTTTATTTCTTTTTACAGCTGTGCATTGTTTTTATATTAAGTGGAGTCAGCAAAAAGCAATATTAAAATACCAGTCAAGTGTGAAAAAGCATAACCTAGAGCAATAAGATTTATACCTGAAAGAATGTTAAAGCTGCCATTTAAGATTTTTAAGTTTCGATGCCTTTGACTGGATATCATCCTATCCTCTGTCTGCATAGCTAATGTAGTCTTTTTATTCTGTTATTACTAGTTGGTCACTAAATTGAACAGAGAAATAGAATTGTGAAAGTGAAAACTATTATGTTTCCAGTTCTGACAGGATGATAGTGCTGTTGCTTCCATCAGTTTCCAACAAGCTATAATTTAGAAATAATGACAGTGGAATGCACAGTACTGACAGATAATGTACATTCACTGCAATATAGGCATTAGGCAAAACCAGCCCCGGAGGGTGGTATTTGGGTAAAAATACAGTTTTGATTGCTATTGTCTCTACTATGTAGTGGTTCGAAGCATTTAATATCCATTAGTGTTCAGGAATGTATTTTCTTAGGTGTTATACTATCTAGTGATGATATGTAGAGACTTAGTTTTTCAGACTACGGAGGTAAAGATTATAATTCTATGTCCGTGCATTTCTGTGTTCATTTTTTTATGTGTCTTTTGTGCTGATATAGATAGGGGCTCACTTAAAAGATGTACTGTATACTTCTATAAAAAGATGAGTTATTGTCCCTAGCTTGAAGTTAAGGCACTAACTATTCAAATTTTCTTCAACCTTGTGGTTTGTAGAAACATCACAGTATGTATTCCATGAGTAAAATTCTTGTAATATTGAAAACAGCACATGGCATATGTAAATCCACATTATTAACATTTTGCATTTTCCTCTCTCCCCTTTTTATATACCCATAACTGATTTTCTGTCCTATATATTCATAGGTCAAGCAGAATTTCCAGATTAGCTGAAATCCAACTTTCCCCAGAAACTTAGGAGACTCATTGATGTAGAAGTGACACTTGGATTCCCAAGTATCTGGTGGAAGATTTACAAATTTAGACTTAAGCATCTTTAAAAATTTTATCCACTGTGTCCTTTCACTGATGCTGTCATGTTGCCGAGATGCGTATGCAGTCTTCTGTTGTCTGGAAGTAGCAGTCGGTGTAGCAGTCACCAAATATGAGGGAATTAACTGCTCTGTAAATTACTCCTGATTACTTTCATGACAAATGTTAACACACATAAACTACAAAATCAAAGTTCCCAGTATGTCACTGGAAACAGAAGGTGAAGAAATGCAGGCCAAATACTTAATTGGTTTCATTGCTCTGTCAGACAAAAATCTCATGTGTACATAGGTGTATTCAGATTTCTGGGTTCAGCAAAGACAGTAATGAGGATTTTATTTTTTGGTTCAACAACTGAAAGATGCTTCATTTCCCAGCCTTTACGGTTCTCTGGAACGCTGACGATGCCTCCACCAGCACGGCTGGCACTCTGCCTGGAGCGGGGCAGGGGCATTGGCGAGCTTTGCACAATCCCGAAGCAGGTGTGACCATATCAACTAGCAGCTGTTGGAGTTACTCTGTAACTTTATATGAAAATGCCTTTATAGTCCTTGCAGGGTTTGCACGGTTTCTTGGAAGGGATAACTTAATGGGCCCTACCAAGCAGTGCAAAGGCTGGTTACCTCAGCCCCTCTTGCGTGCTAAGATGGAAAAATAGGCCTTCTATGGTTTCTGCACCAAAAGCTCATACAAAAAGGACTGTTTCCAGCCAGCATTCAGTTCATGTCAGCTTAGCTATATTAGTCGACAGTATGAAGGCAAAATAAAAATAATCCCATAAATAACTCAGTAATGATTATTCAGGCACTTCTAAAAGAAGTGCTTTGGAAATTGTTAAAAAATCCCAGATAGCTGATAATGCTGCCGCTAAGTAGGGAAAAATACCTGATTTTTGCTAATGGCCAGCAATTCAATAGGCAAGAATTCTCTCTTTGCTTGAATAATGTGTGAGTAGTTTCAATGCAAGGTTTATGTCTTTTTGCCAGCACAGATACTTGACACTATTTTTTGTGCTAAGTAATTTTTTTTTTTCCCCCCGTAGGTACGTAAGGAATATGGCAAATGCTTCCGACATTCCTACTGCTGTGGTGGACTACCAACTGAGAGTCCCCACAGTTCAGTGAAGGCATCAACAACAAGAACTAGTGCTCGCTATTCCTCTGGCACTCAGGTAACAAAGGTTTTGACAGCATCTTTTAATTAACCTTATTTATAAAAAGCCTACTGAGATGTGTTCCAATCAGAAGCACTAATTGTCTTCTCAGTATTATCATTTAGATGGCAAATACATACTTCCACAGAGTAGAACTGATTCTTTAGAAACATTTCCTTTTACTTAGGTCTAATGCAAGCACCTTATTTTTCTTGCAATTAGGGGCTGGTTTATAGGAAGGGTTATACCACCATGTTTCATCTAAATGAAATTTAATGAATTAGAGTTTTAATAACAAAAGAAGGAGTTTCACTCCGTGCTAGAAGAATGGCTTACTTTAGGCCAAAATAAGCACAAATATTCTACATAATAGCACACATGTAGGAAAAAAATCTTTTCATAACTTACTGTGCTTCTGTCTCACTGCTTTACGTTAACAGAGTCGTATAAGGAGGATGTGGAATGACACTGTGAGAAAACAATCTGAATCGTCTTTTATCTCAGGTGACATCAACAGCACTTCAACACTTAATCAAGGTCAGTCACTGGGAACATTTCAGTTTTAGAAGCCTTAAATTTTATACAGATTTTATATCATTTAACACAGAAGAATTGAAAAGACTGTTTTGAAAAAAAATTCTGGAACAAATGTTCTCTAAAAGCAGAGTTTTAAAGTCATCTACCAGCACATTTTAAAACCGTGTTCCCTCAACTGGCCCCCTGCTATAGAAGTTGAATTCCTCCATTCGTGGGAATGTATTTAAATAAGTTTCATCAATAATTTAACTTAGAAGCAAGATCATAATTTTAAATCTTTCCTAACCTTTATAGGTTAAATCTGAAACAGAAATATGAGTGCAGTAACATTTTAATGCATATTTGACTATGATTTTTAGGTGCAGAAATTTTCCCAGTGAAATCTAATTGATATCATTTCTATGCGAAAGATGTCTGTAAAGCATTTATCTTTTCTATTTCAAAGAGCATCATATCTGTCACATGGAATAGAATCCAGATTTTCAGGCACAGAGAAGCCAAAACTCCAAATTTCTCAGCTCAAATAGACTTTGAAATCTGTAACCTCATTCTCATGTCCAGTTAGAAGAGAAAGATGTTAACCGAGACAGAATATCCCTTCCTTTCTCCCCTTCCCCCTGTGTTTTTTGAAGGCAGTTTGAGCTAGCAGTGGAGGGAAGGCTGCTCTGTGCAAGCCAAGTTCAAAGCCTGTTCTTCCACCCACGTCCCTAGGAGAAGAACACGTAGCCCTGATCTCGTTGCGACCAGTTCCTGCTCAACTCAGAAAGTTTCAAACAGAAAATTCATCACTGTCAGGGCTGTTGTAAAGCCCTTATCAACCACAAGTAGCAAATTTTCCTCCCTTGGTTTTTTTTCAAGTTTTGGTAGTAGGGACATGTACTTAACTCACATTTATTTTGGAAGTAAACACTGTAGTTCTTTGCAAAAGAAAAGATTTCAGAAAGCATGATTCTATTTTTGCTATTTGGCATATAGAAAGTGGATAAGACCTGTGTGTCTCACTGGTCCCTCCATCTGAATCTTGTATTTTCCTCTGGCAAAAGCAAAATTAAGTAACTTCTAAGTAGAAAATGTGTATTTTTCATGCCCAAGGAAGAAGTACAGTCCCTTCCAATGTCTTATTAAAATCCCATAAATATGCTATAGATAAAAGGTTGGGATTTCACCCTGATTTGATGTCTCTGACTCCCGAGGTTTGCTCTAACCATGCTGCACCCTCAGTTAATTCAGAGTTGAACGGAGGTCTTGGAGGCTTCTCCCTGTTTCGGAGCTCCAGTCTCAAGTCACTGGAGATGTTCTGCCATGATTAGAAAAATTGATACCATCTTTATTCAATTATAATATTGTCCCTATCTCAGTGATACATACATATTAGGGTAGTTTAGTAATTAATGGCAAGTGTCATTTTTCCTTTAAAATAAAAATCAAGCTTTTAAAGATGGCAAAAAATTTTGGATTGGAAAAAAAATCTCTTAACAGAGAGATTTTTAATCTCTTTTTTTATTTATTAATCTCTTAATAAATTACAGGTAATAATGCTAACCAAGATTAAACATAGTACACCAAAAAAACCCTCCAAGCAAAATATATTTCAGTTAGTATTTCTAGTAATAAGTACATTACAACTGAAAAAACCATGATAAAACCTTTTTAGTTGTTCACTGATACAAACTTTCAAATAAGATTAGCATAGTCAGGCAAAAATTCTCTGAATCTTAGAATTTTCTGCTCATTTCTGCTACCAAGTATCCATGGTATTTGGAATACATGCTATCTTTTCCTTGCCAAATAAAAATACCCATACTGTAAAAATATAGTGGCTCTTTAGTTGTCCTTGGATCTGTAATACACTGATCCTGATATACTGCTGTGCAATGCAATAGAAAAGAAAGTGGAATTTTACCTTAATGGAATGTTTAAAGTAAGTTTTAAATCACAGCATTTTGTGTGGGGTTTTTTGTCATTATTCCAATCCATTATTCTTCTAGTAGCTAGAAATCAGAGTTTGACTTTTTAATAATTTCTCAAAATATGGTGATTTTTTTTTCTAATTATTCCAAGAGTTGTTGAAATGGTGTTGCATTAACATGTAAAATGGGTTTAAAAAAAAATCTGTTCATGTGGTATTCTGCTTCATCTTACATTGTTTGTAAACTGATTGTTTAAAGAAAAGTTGTCATTCGAGTAATTCTCTTTTAAAACCTGGCAGATAAATTTGCAGCATGAATGTCCCAGGAGAAAATGTGAATGCTCTGATTTCTTAGAGCAAATATTTTGCTTTCCCCTCAGCATGCATACTTTTGCATATACTAAGAGATGCTTCTTGCTGTTTGTCACCCACTGTCTGTTTGAAAACAGCAATTCCCTTCCACTATCCGTGTGTTTTTAATAAAGTGAATAACAGCTCTGATCCTGTCATAAGAGATTTTTCAATACCTTTCAATTTGAGAAATTCAGTTCTCTCAATTCTGGACAGAAGTGTTCCATACGATCATTTTTAAAGTTCTAATAGCTTTATGTAGTACCTTGATCCCTACACATTTAATTGCTATTCTTGTGTAACAGTGATTTTGTATACATTAGTAAATGTCACTCTCACCAGATGTTTACTTTGGGGATTTGGACAGCACCTGTGAATTACTGGAATCTAACTGTATTTTCCTACTCCCATTTCAAATACATAGCTCAAATACATTCAGAAATTTTCAGCTGAATTACATTTGACAAGTCCTACATGATTCATGATGAATAAAAAATATTCTTTATTGAAACTGTCAGCCTAAAATTAAAGAACTGACATTTTTTTTCTGTTTCTTTTGCTTTAGGAATGACTGGCAATTACCTACTAACAAACCCTCTTCTTCGACCACACGGCACTAACAACCCCTATAACACATTGCTCGCTGAAACAGTTGTATGTAATGCCCCTTCAGCTCCTGTGTTTAACTCACCAGGTGTGCTTATACTTCCTGAATAAAACCGCTTTTCTTGGCTCGCTCCAAATCCCTTCTTTTCCCTAGATAGAAACTCAAGTTGCAATACCCTAGCCGTACATTCTGAATTTCTGTCAGTTCGAGAAATACAGTATTGCCAATGTCAGCTTGTAAAACTGCACTATATTATAGTAATGCCTTTGCCATAACAGTATTTACCAATAATTATCCATGTTTTTAACACAGGTGGCATAAATCTTAATATACTATTACAGGACTGACACCACATGGTCCGAGAGCCCATCTTCAAGATATATATCACTTAGAGGTATCATGTCTATGCAATATAAGGTTGACTCTAAAGCTTGCTGAGAAAAACCTGTTTATGGAACGGATTAGATACTAAAAGCAGCGCAAGGCATCTTGACACCTTTGGATACCCCAGTGTAGAAAATTGTATCCAGCGTCAAACAGATCTAAACTATAGTATAGTGCAGCTTTATGGTAGAGCATTTTCCTGTAGGAAAATCTTGAGACTAACAGTTAGAACAGTTTAGTTCTGTAGGAATAAAGGGTGTCATCACTTACTTAACATTTTGTTGTTGCATTATCTAGTTGCTTTTTTTAACTGCGGTGCAATTCATCAGTAAATATCTAGCAGTTACTGTTTGATGAGTCGTAAGGTCACTTTAGTATAACTGGAACAATAAATCTTTGATAAAGAGCTCATAAAACCTTGTTTCCAGTTTTTATTTCAAGTTTCCTTTTTAACTGAACTGTAGTTTCTATTTTCATTCTCTTGTTTTCTTACTTTCCTTATGCTTTCCTCTAGCAACCTACAGAGAGACAAGTATGGGAGTAAAACTTAACTTTGCCTATCAAATGTAAATTTTTTCAGCATGATTTTTAATGGGCACAATTAAAACATAACTAGCGGTCATGAAGTAGACTCAGCGGGCAAGTGGTTCACAATTTGCAAATGAAATGTTTCCACATTCAAAAAGTACTTGCATACTGCTTTTTGGGAAACAACATGAGGTCTGTAGCAAACCCTATTGGTAACAGAAGTTATGCAATGCTGAAATAATTTGCTGTTTAAAACCAAAGCAGTGTCAAGCAGAAATGCTTAACAATTTACTTGTATTTTTACATTCCCACAGTAATCTTGCTACAGGCTATGGAAAGATTTCAAATGAATTACCTGATCATGGGCAAAAAAATTTGCCTCATCAAACCAATTTGAATATATTCTAGCATGCTTAACTCTGCAGTATATCATAGAAAACTCATTTTGGATTATCAGATATATTTTGGTATCTGTTTAGCAGAAGAAGAGAGAATTAAAATTATAGAATTAAATCACTTTCATGAGGGAAATGAATGCCAGCATGCGGTCCATGTGTTGTCTGCTTTTATAAATGCCGTATGTTCTGTGCAGCTAAATGCATTGCAAGAAAAAATCTTGGAACATGTATGAAATCGCAAAACTACAAAGTTGTTTAATCAAAAGCTTAAAGAGACCTTTCAAACAACCCTCATCACTGTTTAAATCAGTACACATGGAGAAGAGTTAACAATAACGCAAGTACAAAATGATTTGAAAATTACTCAGAATTTATTTGGAAATTATTACTCTATTCTTTAAAGTTGAAGACAAAAATCTTTTCATGAGAAAATGCAATTACTTTTTAATTGAAAACAATATTTTCCAGAGAAGATTGAATTTTCTAGGATAAGCTGCAGCTTTAATTATGAAAAAAAACCCAAAATGGGAAAATGTATAATCTTCTCCAAAACAACTTTTTTCTTATACTCCTCCAAGCCTTGCATGTAATGCAGCAGCCTCACAGTGGTCAGTCTCATTTCAGTAAAGTCACTCCATTCTTTCTTTACTTCCAGACATATCTGTAGATAAAGTGATTTTCTAGGAATGCTCTAACCATCTGACTTTCCATGGTTCAGACTGTTTAATTTCTTTTTTTTTTTTTTTTTTTTTTTTTTTTTCCTTTTC